GCTCTTCTTTTGGCCCACTTCGTGGTGATGACTGTGTGTTTTCAGATGCTTGACTGAGAAAAAAAATCCTCTAACTATTCAAAGTCCAAGATATATGGTGCTCAAGTTCATGTTCAGATTAACACCTGTCTTCACCAATATCTCACTGCTGTCCTATGTTTTCACAGAGCCTTTGAAAGCATGAACACAAACTTTCACCTGGAGCACGGGAGCACGGGTTCAGTTGAAAGGGCTATCCATTGAACAGAATCTAATGATTTGAAAATGGCAGTACTATCACACACACATACACACACACACACACACACACACACACACACACACACACACACACACGCACACACAAAGCCCCTTGATGCTTATTTTGGTGGCACGGTTTGCATATAAGGGCTGAATCATCAATAACAAAAAAAAAAAAAAAAAGTTGTGGCCTTATTTTAATGAAATAAAAAAAATTAAAAATATGCATGCTCTCTTAAGTCCTTGACTATATCTAACTGTAAGCATTTCTAATATCTTTAAAATTGATATCGTGATAAATCTTATCGGGCATGCAATTATTGCTTTTTAAAATCTAAAAGACTAATGTGGAAAGCCCATTGGCAGAATTAACTATGACATTGGGACTGCCCATCTCGCTTGACCATGCCGTGATGTGTCACAAGCTTCAGCAGAGAGCAGCTGGGCCAGCCTCACACTTCCTTGCCACAGCGGGGAAGGAATATAGCTGCGGAGCATGCAGGCCAGTCAAAATCCGTTTAGGAAGTGACTGTGTGAGCACAACTTGCTTTGGTAACCTGGGTAAAAGTGGTGCCTCCAGCCTCTGGCTGCTTAAAAAAACACCAGAGCGGCCTTCTTGACAGCTCCAGCTTGGTCTCACGCCTGTGAGAAGTAAGAACGATCAGAAGTGAAGGTCACAATAGGATATTGCTAGACTGAATTTGGAATTCAGCTAAGAATATGATCATTATGTGCATTTATTATAAATCTTTCCTTTGGGAAGATAAGTCAGTAATCTTTTAAGCACTAAATTAAATAATAATTATGAGAACATTAAAACCATTAAAAAAAAAACCAAGACTGTACATTAGAGATTGCCACACTATTCGCAGAATTAAGAGTTTCTTAAGATAAAAAAAAAAAAAATCAGTATTTTAACATCCATGCCTTTATTTTTTCTTCATGCAGAGCTTTGGATTTGTTTCTATACCACTCTGTTTATCTAAGTAGTACGTACATACACATACAATGAACACATTTAGGAATACACATTCAATAATATATAAAACATTAGAGTTTACACCTATATTTTTGAACACTTTCAGGGATTATTTATCTCTGGTTGCAGTTACCAGTCATATTTCATTACAGAAATGAGTGGAAATACTTTATTAGGAAGGGTTTTCAAACCATTTAGGCTGGCTAGTTTGCTACCTAATGTAAAAGAAGAAAATGAATGCAGTTCTGAAATAATTTTATTTTTTAAAGATAAATGTAATAAAACTCTGTTGTGTTCAGCCTAATGATTGCTTAGTCTGTGAGAGAAGCCAAAGGATATTACATGCTCTCCAAAATGCACTTAATTGTTTTCCTTCTGGTGTGGTCAAGAAACTAGGAAAATTTAATCAAAATGTCGTGTGTGTGTGTGTGTGTGTGTGTGTGTGTGTGTGTGTGTATGCTTGTGTGTGTGAGTGTGTTCATATTGGTGCATGTGTGAGGTAGACCAACGTTATACTTAGGCAGAATTAATCTAAATCTGTCCTGCAATGTTAGATATACCATTTAAAAATTTTTTTTAAAGTTCTATCTTATTTGCTATGTGTAAGCATATATGAGTATTTTCCTATTGCTTTTGGATAAGTTTCTGGGGTGCTAATTTAAATGTTTCATCCACATAAAATTTATTGCTGAATAAATGTAAACTGTATTGTTTGTTAAACAGAACTTGATTTCAAGTAACATGCATAATGTTTTTACTTATGAGAAATTAGAACAATGAATTTTGAACCTATTCTTTCCCTTTCCCCCTAGCTCTTCCTAGCTCCTCCATCATCTCCCTACCCACCCATCTTCACAACAATATATTTTTCTTTATTTTATATTCCATATGTTAATGTGTATCCTGCACTTATGGATGTGTACTATGTATGCGCAGTGCCTTGGGAGTCCTTAAAATTGTCAGATTCCCTGGAACTGGAGTTACAGACAGGAGTTACCTATCACATGGGTGCTGGGATACAAACTTAGGTCCTCTGTAAGAGCAGTAAGTGCTCTTAATCTCTAAGCCATCTCACCAGCCTCACATGGCTAGCAATATTTAACATTACTTCTAAGGGTCATTCCAAAATTTAACCAAGAATAAAAATATATGTAAGCTTATGTTTACTTTGATGATTTCCCACTAACATTTATAGATTTGAAAAAATTTCATTAACTTCTGTAATTAGATTTCATCCACTCAAAATTAGGTTTAAGAGTATAGAATTATAGAAATTAACCAATAACAAATTTCTGTTTAGGAAACAAATATTTTCCAGGAATCGACGATGAAGAATTATGTCTTAATATTCTATGATGTTTAAGCCATTAAAAAGAAGTATCTGTGGATCTTTTGCAGGTTTTAAAATATATTGAAACCAGCTTTTTAGCAGAAGCAAATGGAGATATTTGTTCTTCATAATCCCCTGTCATCAGTTTCTGCTATTAATGCAAAGCTTTGCTGTCTTTTCTTGACCTTAGGCTAGTTGGGAAATTGTGTCTTTAACCTTATTCTATTTTGGGCTTATAATGATTTCTTTGGCCTCTCCTATTTTCAGGGAACCAAATAATTTAAAGGCCTTCACTATCTGATCCACTTTTTGTGCTGACTTCTCACCATGACCAACAATGTTACTTTCAGCCCAAGCATCTCCTGTCAATCACAGGGGATCAGTTCCAGGACTCTACCAAAATCCCAACCAATGGGATGATGTACATGTCCTGCATTTAAAGTGGCCTGGCATTGGAAGAACATGCCTATAACCTCCACAGTACTCTCATACCAGGGAAGAACAGGAAAACAATATTTATCTATTCAGTAGACACATTTTTCTGTGATGTTTTTGATTAGAGGATCACTGAAACCCAGTGAGCAGAATCCATGTGTGTGAAGTGCAAAACTTAAATCCCTAATTGAAGTCTTTGCACACAAACCTTGTAACCTTTTCAAAAGACCATTTCAGACAGTAGAATCACCACTTTTCAGATTCCTCAGACTCTTTCAGTCTGACAAATTGCCAATTACTCTCAGTTCCCTATTATTTAAGCCCAGAATTTCATTGCTATAACAATGTGCAAGATAATATCCATTATCTCTCAGTCTAACCTGCTTTGCACTTTAATATCAAATGTTCCTGAGGTACCCTTTCAAATTGCATTCTGTGTTTCAGAATACTCCTTCCTGACCATGGGCATGCATCCCATTCCAAGCTCTGAAGTGCAACAATCTGAAGCTCCCAAACACACCAACATACCCCTTGCACTGTCTCCCACTCTTTACCCACCTTGGTAGTAGGAATTCATTATCAGTCCTGGCTCTCCCTTTGTAGAATAATGTCTGTTTAATGTGACCAAATAGGAGGCCTATTTCAATCTTCTCTCATTTACTAGCCCTTCAATTTCTTAAACATCTAAGAATTTATCACAGTCCCGTAAAGTCATTTTATGAGTTTGTTGAGAACCTATGATTGAGTCTGTCTTTAATCAAACTGGACAAAGTGGTCAGTGAATGCCTGCTAGATATTTAGTTTTTTTTCTTAAATCAATCTGTGCCAGGTGATGGGAAATAAAGCCTTAAAATGATTCTTAGTCTTCTAGGATGAGCAATGTAAATTCGATGTGCTATGCATACTATCAGTGCAACTCTGAAACTGAACATTCCTACCTCATTTTGTTTGTGGTTCTTAGTTTTTTAAGAAAAATTCTAACATATAAAAAAAGAGAAATATTCTAAAATATGCAAAGAACGAGGACACTATGAGTTGTAATGCTTTTATAAACTGCCTATAAGGACTTTTAGACCAAATTATCTTGGTATATTGGCTTTCAAAAGTTCCAAGAGAATTCACAAAGTCAAACATCATTCCTCTGATTCCTATGGTGTAGATGTTATGACCTCAAGCTAAAGCATATCTCTTATAACTCCATCTGTGCTAGATTAACTTCCAGCTGTTAAGTCCAAGGGCCATGAATAAATAATAGTAAAATATTTTAATTGAAGTAATGCCACTAACTAAGCTCTTGACATTAGAGTTCAAATCATAGAGCATAAGAATATTTTCCTTTTTATTTCATTCTAACAGCTAAAAGCAGGAGAGTAAATTTTCCATCTGCAGTTCCACTGTTATCCTCAAGTGTTAGTCCTCAGTATTTTCAAACTAATATAGAACATATCATAGCTTTGCTCATCCTTAACAGGGAAAAAAATAAGTGCTGTTTGTTCCTTCCTTGGAAACAAAGGACCTCCATAAATAATGTACTCTATTATGCCAACGAAACACTCAAAGTTGGTAAAGACTATATAAAACTTTCACAATGATGGCACGATCACCATTAAAATATAGTTTGTTGATTTTTCAAAAAAAGAATATCTAATGAAAGGCAAAATGTGTTAAGTAGTATCTCTCTCTCTTTCTCTCTTTTTTAGGGTTATGTTTTAAATCAGGCTTTCAAGTCATCAAGAAAATGAACATTGTAATTACTCAGATGGTGATTTTCTGTGGAAGGCTATACTTTAATGAATTTACCAATTTCTCATGATGTTACAACATTACCATACAATGTTTATTTCTTTTTGTAAGTGGTGTTGGGTACTACAGGACCTCATGCATGTTACACATTCTACCCTGAGCTACATGCCCAGTCCATCAACACCTTTTGATAAAGCACCTCAAAGCAATTCAAAGAAGCCATACTGCATGGATTCTGCAAACAATGCAGCCTGGACTGAAAGGCACACTTACCTCTTTGCTTTCTTCTAGTTCTGACTCGCTGCTAAACTCTTCCGTATTTAAATTTTCAAAGTCAGACTCCCCCACAGCAATGGGCACTGTCACAGTGAGACTGGGGTTGTTTATGAATGACATGTAATCATTTTCATCGATTACATATTTTTCAACACTGCTTCCGGTACCTACACCACTGGTGGTTCCATTACCATCTTTAAGATAATTAAGCTCTTTACTTATTTCAATGCCGGTGTTATTGGACATGCAGCTGTCTATTTTGTTGCCTTCATGGATTTCTATGACTTTGGGCTTTCTAAAAAAGGTTTTTCGGAAGCATTCCCGTATCTTGTTTTTCACAAAATCAATTCCCTTCTGCATCCTTCCCACTGCAATCTGAAGGTTGTTCATCTCGTTATCATCATCAGTAGCAGCAAGGTTGTCTGAGCTAAAGGAACTCAACAGTAAGGCCAGAAAGAGGTTCAGAACCTAAATGAAAAAAGGCATAGAAGTTCCATGTTAATACTGCAATGTGCCTTAGTTAAGTGGACAGGGAGTTCAGATCTTTGCTTCAGTGGGTTTAGCAAATTCTTTTGAATGCTTTGCGTGCATGGGACTCCACATTAAAATCACACACCATTTGAAGGGCATGATAAGTCTACCTGTGGTAACAAACAGGCAAATGGTAATGTGGGCACCCTTCTCCATGGAGAATAGCAGGAAAATGTAAAGATTTCGATAACATCTATCGAGACTCACCAGTGAGAAGACAAAGTCCCACTTACAGTGGTTCTTGTCACAAGAAAAAAAAAGGTATTTTTCATTTCTCACTATTTTATTTCCTCTTACCAGTTTGTCTATGGAACGCCTAGCTTCATGTGTTCATATAATACATTCAGTAATCTACTGATTTGTACAAAAACAATATATAGCAGAAACAGATTTCTTTGGTTTGGTGGCTACAAACTGCAATAGCAGATATAGCAATTTGCATACTTCCCACTTTAAAATTTAGGTGTCTAAATAGCACAGAGGGTAGAGAAAACTTTAAAATATTCCAAGAGTTAGCGAGACTCATATAATGAAAATCCCTTCTCTCTTTGGTTTTGTAGAGTTTGTTGTGACTCACAGCAGAGAGTACCTGTGATCTGAGGATAATACAGTGATAACTCAGGATGTCTGCTCTCAAAGGAAATTATGTACAGGGATATTTTTAGCTTAAAGTGTAATTACTAAATTTCTTCATGTGGCAGGAGGACAAACGCAAAGCAGGATCCCTGGGTGGTTTCCTGTCTGTACATCATATTTCATTCAGAATCGAGGGCTCTCTAATTTACCACTTTAAGGGGAAAAGTACATGTATCCCACTATCATTCTTTTGAGTATTATTTGAAATGTACCCTTCAAAGGGAAGGCCTAGTATGACTGTATAGACAATTGCTGTATCTGCATGTGATTCAGGAATTTAAGTACTGAAATGCATTTTAATGAATTTTAAAATTAATATTTCTCTTCTTGGACAACTTCATGCTTGTACACAATATACACTGACTACTCCCAGCCTCCACCCCACTTCTACACCTATCCGTCACCCTTCTCCCCACGAATATTTCTTTTGCATTCAAGTCTATTACTTTCATCCACTGTGGTTAACTGGGACCATTTATGTGATATTTAGAGCTAGGTGGGGTCAGCAATGGGGACACAACTAAAGATATTTATTTACTCATTCTCATCTAGATTCTAAGTAATGGCTAAAAGTATTTTAAATTTGCTTTGTATCATCTGTCTTTATCATCTAGATGTCTGTCTGTCTACCTATCATCTATCATCTGTGTGTTTGTCTCTGTCTCTATTTATGCATGTGCGTACGGACACACATACATGTTATTCATAATTACTCAGAATACAATAAATTATTTTCTTTTAATAAAGCAAATTCAGATAAGAACATATTTTCTACACTACAGTAATTTGTACCCTACAGCTAAAGTATAATTTTTTGTTTCATTAAAATTTGTCATCCAAATTTGTGCCTAACCCACACCTTTAAATAAAACAATGTGAGTTATGAGCATGTAAAAAGCCATTTCAGTATAAAATAGTTGTATTTGTAGGCCTTAAAGAGATTATCATATAAAAATAATATCAGGGTAAGTTAGCCTTGACAAGAAAATACATTTTCTGGACAAGAAAAAAAAAGTAAATGTAGCATTTACAACCCCCAAACATGCATTAAATGCACCTGCACCTCCCATCCTCATGTCCTCCACGACGTGCCAGTTTTATCCCACTGTCACAGACAGGGGCTCCAACCCCAGGGAATTTAAATAAGATGTTCCTTCAGGGACCGCTTATAGGGGGATTTGACTCTCAGCCACTGGCAGTAAAATTGGAGAAAAATTTATTGCTTAAGCCACCATATTACCTACAGCCCAAACTCATTCTTATTTATGAGCATCTGCAGAGTATACATACCACGAGGTTCCCAATCACCATGACCAACATGAATACAATGAGGCACATGGTCTGGCCAGCGACCTCCATGCAGTCCCACATGGTCTCTATCCACTCTCCACACAACACTCGGAACACGATCAGGAAGGAGTGGAAGAAGTCATTCATGTGCCAGCGCGGGAGCGTGCAATCCTCATTGATTTTGCAGACACACTCCTTGTAGCTCTTTCCAAACAGCTGCATGCCGACCACGGCAAAAATGAAGACAATGATGGCCAACACCAGGGTCAGGTTTCCCAGTGCGCCCACCGAATTGCCGATGATCTTGATGAGCATATTCAGTGTGGGCCAGGACTTTGCCAACTTGAAGACTCGCAGCTGTATCAAATAAAATGAAATTTAGTACATTTGGAAGCCAGACTATTGTTTTATGAGTCGATTATGATGTAGATCCAGATCAAAAGTGATTAATACTACACATCTATTTTCAAATAAAAGTCAAATAAGCTAATTTGACTTTTAAGAGCTTTGTTCAATTTCAAATGTGTGTATATATATATATATATATATATATATATTTACAAAATTTTCAACTAAAAGGTACTTTTAGTAAATAGTTTTGCTATAATTCAGAATGATTTTATGATATCATTGTTTAAAATTCCACATTTTTGTATGTGTTGAATTTGTTTTGTTTTGTCTTGGTTTTGGAGACAGTCTCAATGTAGCCTAGGCTGGCTTCAAATTTGCAGTGTAACTGAGGGTAATTCTGAGCTAATACTTCCGCCTCTACCCCCGGAGTGCTGGAATTAGAGATATGCACCACTATTCCTGGCTTCCCACATACTCAAGGGTAGTTCCTCTGTGGTGGGATGCCATGCTCAGCCTTAATGCAGTGGTAAGGGGCTTGGTCCTGCCTCTACTTAACGTGCCAGGCTTTGTTGATTCCTCATGAAGGGACTTACTCTTTGGGAGGTGTGGATGTGGAGTGGGCTTGGGGGTGGGGGCGAGAGGGGACAGGAGGAGGGTGGGAAGGAGAACTGTGGTTGGAATGTAAAATGAAATTAATACAAAACAAAGGAAGGAAGGAAGGAAGATGAAAAAAAAAAAGTCGGTTTGATTAAAAACCCAGCATTAATTGTGGCTTAACATTTTTATTTGCCTTTCTGCCTTTTTTTTTTCCTTTTTTTTTTCCCTCAGCTTACAGATATAAAGTGAAAACAAGTTCAGAATATAAAACCAATTTAGAAACAAAATATATGTTTGCTATGTCTCCTACATATTGAATTGTGGAGTATTTCAATCATTTTTATTACTGTTAGAAAGTAAATTACAATTATCTTCAGAGGCTGTACTTACATATTTTCTAAGGATATCGCCTTGGTGTACTTATCAATGTTATTTTACAAACTATGATCATTATATTACATACACTTAAAAATAAATGCTATGCTAAGGAGAGATAGGGCATGAACAACAGGGAGGTACCAGTCTGAAGGAACGGAGCACAGACAGCCCCTCCACATTTGCCAGGCCAAGCTCCATTAAACTCAGGCTAACAATGATTCCATCAAAGATATTCCATCCCTCTTGGAAATAGTAATAGGGATCCATGGCTATGATTTTTAGGACCATTTCGGCTGTGAAGATCCCAGTGAACACCTGCAAGGAAACAGAGGGGGGGGCACATCACTGCTGAGCATGGATGCTGCAAGAAATCACAAAGAGCATTACATCACAACAAACACAAATATCTGACTTGTAAATTCAACAAATCAATACCGGCTTAGCATTTTCCCCACAAGCCATCATTGTGCTAAATAGATCTGTCATATTTAACAAATCAGCTGGGTTTCTAGGGGAAACAAACTTTAAGACCTTTCACTGTGAGCATTTTCAGTCTCATACTGGATAATAGCTGGGGCATTATTGTCGTTGTGGTCCATTATGCTTCTACAAAGCAGTGCATTTACTTTTTGTAATGTTTACAAAATGCATTATAGGAAATAAATTCACATATTATTGGTTACTAAAAATTACTTGAAATTGGTAAGCACATACATTTTACTTATAAATTTTGTAATTTCCTTGAAGTGGTAGTATTTCTTTTCTACATTTTATAAACATTCCTGAAACAAAAGAGTGTGCCACAATTGTTTTGTAATAATGGTCTTTGGCTGCCTGCCTCAGAATTAAAGTTAATGGATTAATAGATTTAATTAGAACAAGCAGGAGAATATCCTCGGTATTACACATCAATAATTAAGAGTAATACAGTGAATGTCTGGAAGGAATGTGTATTTGACAATAGAAACAAACAAACAAAAAACCCAGATCACATTAAACATTGATTTCAAACTTGAAACCACAGGCAATAAGAGCAGAAGTGAATGAGAAAGGCTATGAAATTATTCTTGTGAAAATCTTTAAAAATAGTCATTCTAATTCTGTATAGGTAAAAGCTCTATTTTATGATGGTAAAGTCAAAGTTACCATTATCTTGAGAATCTCTGTCAAAATAAATTTATTAGAATCAATTAGTATCTTAAACCATTGTACCTTTTAAAAAGAATCCAGACCCTCTCTTATAAAAGCATAAAGACAGCTAATATCTCATTTTTAAATTGTACAAATATTTTAAAAGGAAATATCAGTTCCAAAAACATAGCTTAACCGATGTTAGTCACATTGTTCACTTATATAGAAGTAAAATGTATTGTAAGCAAGGTGGAATTTTGAAAATAATGTTTTCATTTTATATAATAGTTCACCATGGGATTTTTTTTCGACAAATAGTAGTCCCTGGTGAATTCAAAATCAGTTCTAATGCATACATATTTGATTTCTGTAAAACTTTCAGAAGCAGATATTATTTGAAATAGGCACCCTGATGATAGAAATGCATTAAAACAAGCTAGCAACTCTTTAGCTAAATGATCCTCAATACTTCTTCTTACAGAAAATCAAAACGAATACTTTCAGGTCTGCTGAGATGACTAGCTCTCCTGCAGCTAGCAGATGGATATCTCAAAGTCAAACTTTCATCTAAAATATAATGCCACTATGGATGTTCTCCTTAATATTTGAACAAATATTTTCATTTCAAAATTATAGGCATGTGGTGATATATTGTTTATAATTTAACAAAGCTTGCCTGGGGATCAGAATGCAAAGCCAGCCATACTAGTTATCCATTGAGCTAGGCAGTGGGGGCACACACCTTTAATCCCAGGACTCAGGAAACAAAGGCAGATGGCTCTCTGTGGGTTGAAACCCACTCAGGACTACACGAGAGTGAATCAGTCTAAAATATTAACAGAGCTCACACCTTTATTCCCAGCACTAGAGAGTATATAAGGAATTCTGTGCAGTCTCAGAGAGCAGTCTAAGATTCTGAGGCTTGTTGGAGATCAGTGCAGAATACAGATGCAATCTGAGGTTGAGTGGATCACTACTTTGCTCTGAGCATTGGTAGAGGTGACAACACTCTAGTGGCTGGATGCTTTGCTTCTCTGATCGTCAGCTTGACCCCCATATCTGTCTCTGGGTTTTTATTATTCATGCTACACAGGCATTTTCCCATTAAATTCTGCCGTGTCACCAAAATAATGCTAATGCAGTAGGTTTTCTTGTAGTTTTAGTCAGGTAAATTGGTAAAGAAGATTCTCTAATAGAATGCAATGTGTAGACTCTCTGTGGTTTCTAGGACCCCTATACTTGGAGCTTGAATTTAAAATGGCTGGAGGAAAAAAGAAAATAACCTCCTGTGAAAATATGATGTACCAGAGAGAGACTCAGCAGAGGATTTTAGGTCTCCAGATACTCAAATTGAATTAACCCGATCATCAGGGAAGTGATGTAATGTTTATGTACTGTAGAAACAGACTGCAAAAAAGTGGACTCCTTGATCAAAGTCAAAACAGAAGGTTCCATAACCCCTTTCTATTCTTTTGTTCTTAATTCAGCCAATACTTTTATGGTTCCATATATAAGTCTCTACATAATTATTTGAGCAACAATAGACTAGTATGTTGAAATTAACATTTATTTTAATAGGTGAGTTTTAATAAACTCCCACCAAAATATAACCATCTATCATCTATGATGTATAATTTAGGGCAAATGAACTCTTGTATTAAGATTCAGACTTGAAGCCATCAACTTGTGATTTGCCACTTGATTATTCTTTTACCCAAGTTGTATCATTCTATGCTGACATATGCAACATTGGAAGTCCATGAAATGTCAATTTCCTTCATATTCTGGAAAGTTTCCCAAATATTTCTCATTTGTTCAATTTCCCCCAACTTCCCAATATCCTGGGAAAAACATAATAAGCGCTAAGAGCAGAAATATTTTCCATTCAAACTTCAATGAAAAGTTCAAGAGGTTAATGGTATACTTGTGGGAGGAAGGAATCAGTTCAATGAGTACAAGCTAGATGTTAGGCACAATGCTAGATTCATTCACATTACCTCATTTGACCTGCCACAAAACCTCACAGATGGGTATCATTACATCCATTTCAATAATAATAATAATAAAACAAGGCTCAGAGCATTGTACTTTTCCAGAGACGATATTAGTCATCTACAATGACATCTATAGTCAGGTCATGCTGTCTGTTGGTTTTAAAGCATGTGTTATTTTTCCAAAGCCTGATGTCTGAAGCAGCCTCTTTTGGAGTAGTAACAACCAGCCATTTGTTTATTGAGGAACTTCAGTGTAGACATAGGAGATGACACAAAACAAGATGTGATCCAGGGTCTACTAGTGAGAAACTCACAACAGATGGAAAAACCACAGCTTCAAGAGTAAGGAAGTTCATTAGGGATGAAGGTAAAATTACTTAGTGTAGGCTGAATGCCATGTTAGGAGAGAGAGGAGGAAGTGGAACTTGGAAGACTATGAACTGAGACATGAGAACTCTCTAGATGTGGATGCATAAAACAATGAACAGATACATGTTTAAATACATAATCCAATGTGTGGCATGTGTGTGGTGTTGTGACAAGGCTTTTTTTCTGTTGTGTCTGAGGGTGATTATACAGAAAACAACATATTGGTACTAGAAATATTTTAAAGGTTTTAAGAGTAAAAGATAAATAGCTTGAAAGAAGGAATAATGGATTTTCATGTCAAGTATATATGGGAAGTAAAGGAAAATCTAAGTTCTAGTAGCTCTGTCCCTGTTAAAGGTAGCACAAAATTGAAGTGAGGCTGATAGCACTTCTAATAAACTGTGGGAAAGATGGCCATTCAGCTGTGACCACACAGTCCTTAAAGCAATGACCTATGACAGTTGGGCACACAGAACAGAATAAAGCTCATGCTGCAGAATATATCATCCCTGAAGTTGCTGGAATGTAAAAATATTGAGTGAGAAACACCATAAATGATGTAAGGAGTCCAATAATCAATAATAGGGGTCTCAGAAAGTGTCAGGGATGGAATGATTGGCATTATCAAGAAAATTATCAGGAACAAAACAGTATCACAACATGGTAGGTGTCAAAGTTGAAGACAAAGGTGGATGCTTTCTTGAGTCAAACAGCACAAAGAGGATGAGGTGACTTATCAGTATGCATATTTATGCCATCACCTTCCCAACATACCTTTTCCTCCTTCTGGTGGGACTAATTTCTCCATCTTTATGTCTACTTAAGACTGCCATGTTTTCAAATTGCCACACCTACTCCTTCCCAGGATGGTTATCCCAGAAATGACTGTCTTTGTAATATTCCCAACATAGTTCTGTCATGAAAACTTTGAAATGGAATTCAAAATGAAATTTATCTTTTTCTTATCTAAATAATGTGAGATGTAATACCTGTGAGCTACTCTAGATGCAGAAAATATTCAAACTGTATCCACGACCAGTTCCTACATCTTAGCTGCACCATCACTCTTCACAATGTTTGGTCCTTCATCTTTTCTGTTTGATGAGGGTAATTCCCTTCCCCATCCTCTAAGTGCACTTGAGATAGTAAAAGGAAGGTTTTAACTAATAATGTATGTAAACTCAACTATCAAACTGAAACTCTACAGAAGTTCGAGTGGGAATGAAGTAGAATAAGACAGAATGGAATATTTTTGTGGGTGAGGCATTACATTTACAATGAGTTAGCCTTTTCTACCAATGAGACTCATGGGGTCACTTCCACAATACTTTGAAATTATCAAGAACCTTAGGACTTCTCTTCACACACTCCCTTTCTTTCTCTCCATCTCTCTCCTTCCTTTTGACTCAGAATCTTAACTATGTAGGTCCTGCTGACCTAGGTTTTTCAGTGTCTGCTACCATGTCTGCTTCTAATCACCTTATTTTGGGGGTGCAATGCTTTATATCCCTAAAGATTGGGGATTTCTAGTGTAAAACTGATAGGGATAATAGGTTGTCTGCCTTAAAACAAGAAAGGTTGTTTTACAGAGTACATTTGATAGTCACAATTGAAGATCCCTACAACTTAAAGTCCTGATTAGCATCCTTTAATCAGAAGGAATAATGCAATCAGCTTCAGGCCTTAGCAAGCCAAGCACATCCACTTCTACTTGTGATTCCTTGGAAGAGAATTATGTAATCCAGTTATAAAGTACTTCCTAGAAATGACAGTAAGGATTCAGGTATCCCTCACAGCTTTTGGAAAACATTTCTGAACATTAGGCATTAAGGATTCTTCAGAGGAAAATGAAGATACTCATTAACATTCTCTTACTGTCTTTCATATAATAGTTATTAATTAGTACTAAATTTGATGCATTCAATCTAAGAACAAATTTATGTCTCAACCCAAACTGTTAAATAAATAAATAAGTAAGTAAGTAAAAACACTCATGGAGCCCAAAGGTACAGAAGGCACAATTATCATTCATGTTCATGTTTTATGGTTTTATGGGGAAATGTATATCTTTACACAGAAACAAAGGCAATTCAACTCAACTAAATGAAAAGGATAGCTGAAACATAAATGTATTTTTCTTCAATCCTGTGTTAGAATAAAAGCTTTGTTGTGACTTTGTGAAGTGCACTGCAGTTGTACCATGATGCTAGCTACTGCTAGGACAAGAATGGAGTAGTCATTGTTCCATAGAGAAGCAAAATACATAGACTTAGGTACTCTGAGGACAGTAGACCTGGTGCTTAGAGTTTTTCTTCTTAAAATGAGCTTGGGAAATCCTGAGCTGCACAGGGTTTGCTATAGTATGTGCTTTGATGCTCAGAATGCCTCTAAGATATGTTCAAGATCATAATTTGTGGGTCCTCCAAAAGGCATTGATAGCAGCATGAAAATAGTACTAAATAATGTTATGCAGATGCATATTCAAAGTATTGGATCTTAATGAACCAGATTGCAAACCATCCATGTTCAGTGAAAACTAACATCTTTAAATAATCTAAGTCTCCTTCCATGCAGTTTTCCAAATTTTGACCATGACTGGATGTTCCAAAGAGGAAGTTAACTAAAATCAAATAGATAAAACTATTTTAAGTCTTTGGTTGGTTAGTTCATGGCCTTCTGTGGGAAGCAAAAAGCAGAGGAAGCCCTGAGTGTATGAGGTCCTGAGTAAATGTGGATTGTTGACATGAGCCAGCTTAGCTTCAGACCCACGAGGAAAAAATGGCAAAGCCTTCTTCCTGGAATAAGGCTCAAAAGAAAGGCAAAGCCTTCCTTTGGTCTACGTGTGGATGTTGATAGTGTATGCAGACAATATCTACTAAATCTGCCACCTTGATTAAGCTGTATTGAATAATCCTGCCTCCATGTTTATCTGTATTAATAACCTTGTGTCCTTGTTGAGCTACATGCAATTACTCCAACTCTCTGTTCAACTCTCTATGTTAAACATTCTGAGCTTCCAGGGACTGATGTTTCTCTAGCAGAGAGCCCATTCTATCCAATCCCACCTAATCTGTGTCTGTCTTTTCTCTATTCCCTCACTGTCCCAGTCAGGCCCATCCTGGGAGTCTTGCAAGGCCTCAGCAGCCTTCACAGGAACACAAAGCAGCCAGGTATTTGCCTGCTGATGATTAAATATCAAAATATTTATCAGTACTTTGTAACGGGCAATGAACTCTATACTGAGTTATTTGCTGCTCACAGGCTTAAGGATGATTTTAAAGGTATGTTACAGGTTGCCAAAATGATTTTGACTGTTATGAATCATCTTGAAATAGATGAGTCAATTTTGTCACAACCAAATTCAAGGTGTATTCTAGGAAGAACAAGTTAACTGATGCCAGTTTTAAGGTCTTAAAAAGCATGAAATCTTATTTTTCAAAAAAAAATATCTCTAAGTATAATCTTCCCTATGACTAGTTAGTTACCTTCACATATTGAGAGTCCTACATGCGTATTTTTACCAACTATTTTCTCTATTGGATGAATACCACTGAAGCTATTTATTCTTAAGTTATTCACTTCTAAACGGTTGTGCCTTTTAAAAATAGAAATTTATTCAATGCATATGGTTCTGTAAGTTTAAACCCTGTGGATCTTGTGTTTCCTCTGAACCTTCATTTCCCACATGTAAGCCTCTAAAGTGTGAGGAGTTTACAACTCTGGACACCATGGTTATTGTCCTACATAATTAGCCTCAGCAAGAGTTGAAATGCAGATCCTATATAAGGTGTGTTGTAATAGTCCTTTAGATGTCTCTTCTTGCGAAGAAAGAAGATAAAATTTTCAGTTTGGAACATCAAAGATGGTATTTTTCTCTTTCATTGCTTCATCACCTACAGCACTTACCAGGTTTCCCACAGTCAACACACTGCTGAACTGCTCAGTCATGGGATAGTGCTCCATGGCCATAAATAGGGTATTTAATACAATACAAATTGTTATGGCAAGATCAACAAATGGATCCATCACAATTAAATTCACAAGATGCTTCACTTTTAGCCATGCATCGCAGCAGTCCCAGATCAAAAACACATTGGCAAATCTATACCAGCACGGTGGACACTTCTGTCTAGATTCTTCAAGTTCTGGTGGGTAATAAAGAAGAAAAGTAGTAAATAACAGTAAAAATTAATTCTTTTTCATAGTAAATGACATGGTAAAACTAATGCTGATTCTTAGGCACACATGTTTGTGTTACTGGGATTAATGGACTATATAAAATATCCATCAAATAGTATACTAATATTGAACTTCTTTCTCTTTTTAAATATAAAAATTTAATATTCTATTTCAAAATAAGTAATAATTGAACAAAAATGGAATAATATCACAATCAAATAGAACTTTTAAAATAAATTTTATGGGGTGTTAAATAGTGAATAAAATCTCCAAATGTTTGTGTCAAGTGTACTTTAGAGAAATTTTATAATTGTGAATATGGATGACAAAGGAAGGGACCTTGTTTGGATGAAAAACAGGCTTGGCTTTGTCCAATTCATTGCTATCATTCACTAACCCTAACATCATTGACATGTGCAGGCTGAATGGAGAAGGGCTTACTCTGTTGGGCAATGTAACATTAGAATAAGTCATCAATGATATGATATCAAGTTGTGAAATGCCACTATACAGGCAAGGTAGGGATCTAAGTGAAAGAAAAATCGTTCAATACTTATTTTTTATAACCAATACGAAAGATGTACTCTTTCACATAAGTATATCTGCAACACAATTCTATATATGAGAAGTCATTAAGGGGTCTGGAGAAAGAAGGGATATTCAGAGCAGTCACGTAAAATGGCTCTTGAAGCCTGCATCTCACCCTCCATGGTGTTGGTCAGGATGCTGGCTATGCTCATGGCTCTCTGTCTTCCAGAGGAGTCCTCCAGCATTTCCATTGAAATCTGGTAAGAGCTTAGCCTTCTCTTCCTGACTTCGGTTTCAGTGGTGGTGCCCTGCAAACCAAATACTGATGGCTCAAACCACCCTTCTCCAAGGATAGCATGAGAATATATAGCATCTGTCTGGAAAATCATGCTTCATGCAAGGTTTTTAGGTAACAATCTCAAGTAATAATAAGACATTAAATATATTATTATAAACACATTTTTTAAAGACCACAGATCCTTTGACAAACTTTCACTGGCTCTATGCAGTTGTATAGAGCAATTGTTTTACACGAGCAATTTTAACATGACAATACTTGGGGAGAAATTATTTTATAAGCATGCTGTAACTACTTTTCATTCAATTACAAATTAGTTTTCAACTTATAGAAGTGAGGAATAGGTGAATCTTCCCACAAAACTAAATATTATTATATAGTCTCAAGGCTGGTTTATTTTCTTTGAGGCTATATTGACAAACTGACATATATGGGCCATTTGTTTTTCCATGCACAAACACAGATGTACAATGAAATGTGTGTGCTTTCCTGAGATTTATTTATTTCCATATGCCATTCTATAATCAACAATTTTATTTTGCAATAATTTTTCAAATAATCCTATAATATTGACAGTTGTGTAAAACTGTCCATTGTCAATACATCAGTTATTACAATATTTAATTTTGAGAAGACAAACATTTCAGGATATGAGCTGATGAATGATTATATAATTTAAGGGAAATGTTGATAAAGATTTGATTGTGAAAGTGCTAATTATATGGTATTTGTGGTAAATCTACTGAAGCTGCAGGTTTGCATTTTACCTCAGACTCTAAATTCTAAGTACTTTTAACCTGAAAAGCTAATAGTTCCACACAAGTCATGTGTGTCTTTTTGTTTTGTTTTTTTATTCACTTAATCATGTGTTACTTTTAAGCACTTTCATTTGGAGAAAGTAGGGTCACAGAACAGGCACAGCTGCCCAGGCCTGCATCTTTATTTATTTTTTATTTTTTCAAATTGAAGTAAAGTGTCAGTAGTAGCTGGTTTATGTATTATCACCTCTGGCGGAAGTTGTCCAGTAGGTGACGTAAGAGCTGACGGTCCACCCACCAAGGAAACCACACCATTGCAATCCACAGTGCTGTGCATCTTCCCATTTGCTGGAAGCCCTGGCACCATCCTGGATGACATACTGGCCTGACTAACGTTACTGTTGCGTCGCTCTCCAGGTCTGTGCGGCACAAACAGCGAGTCTCTCCTGCTCTCGCTATCTTCAAAGGTGCTGTGCTCATCATCCGCAAAGTCATTTTCAGACCCCACGTCCTTCGTCCGGCCTCTGAAGCTGAAAATGCTCGTTTTGCTATTGCGTCTTGGGGAAAACAGGGAGCCACGGATACTCAAGAGAGACTGAGGAGAAAGCAAGCAAGGAAGAGATCGGGGAAAGGGGCATGGTGGAACATTATTATTTAATAAAAATCTCAAAATTGCAGAAACCACTTGTTTTTTAGGTTGGTGTCAGCTTGTTCTTAATTACACGTAATGGAGTTCATGGAGAACACGTGCTTTCATTTTTGTATTGAAGATCATAGTGCAAATGTCAGTGTACATTTAATTATAAAGCATGCCACTCTAAGACTCCTGGTCCACAACTGACTAACTTTATGAGTCCTGCATCTGAGCTTCACTCTAGCACTGTGAGATGGAGTGTGCTATCACAATACAAGTGAAATGGGAAGATTCAAGGAGGAGGCAGCTTCCATTTCTCAGTGCTGGCATCTGAAGGGCATGCAACATGGGGGGGGGGGGAATTGACTCAAGTAAAACTGTTAGTTCAGATTCTAAATATTTATACCAAGTTCTAAATGTACTTATACCAAACCATCTTGATAACTACAGTATTAAAAAATACTTCATTGTGTCTTTTTTCTCTTCTGGATTCTATCAGGAAGGTCTCTAGACTTGTCTCTATGTATATCAGAGTCATAACACAGAACTTGCCTTCCACATTTTTTTTTAACAATTTCCAACAGGGTGACCAGTTATTCACTTGATCTGAGGGTCTACATGTCACAGCAAATGTAAGAGGACTTCAGTGCTCTCTATGGTACTTTGCCTACTAAAAATTTATTACTAGCTTAAAGATCCAAGGTGTATAATATGACTGGAACAAAGATGATTCTTGTGTGACATTATGTTAATTACATCAATGAGAGCTAGATAAATGAAAATGAAGATATCATAGATGCTCTTGATTTTTTTTTCCTTGTTGTGCTGGGCAATACATCTCCTGGCTTGCTCAGTATTGGCAAGGCAATCATATACCACTGGGCTACATCCACAGCACACAACATTGTTTATCATGCACATTTACAAACTGGTAAATTGTTCTGTAACGACAGGAAAGAACATGTAATTTAGATCTTTCTTTGACAATCTGAATGGATTTTAAACTGCAATGAATAACTAAGGATCAACTTTACTATGGTGATAATTTTTACCCCTGGTCAGGCAATGGAATATTGTTTGCATCCCCATCACTAATAATAGTATTTCTTTTTGCTTCCTTTCTTGCTGTTATCCCTTGCCCCTCATACCTCATCTCTTCATAAAACACACACACACACACACACACACACACTCATGTGTGCCAGAACACATACACAGAGACACACACTGAACATTCATGCACCATGTAGCCAGGCATGGGCATGGAGGCACATACTTATTGTACTAGGACTTGGAAAGCAGAAGCAGGACGATGGACAATCTGTGTTACATAGCAAGATTCTGTCTCAAAAACCCAAGCAGAAGAGACTAATATATGCATATGTTGATATGTTAAATACATGCTGGCAGCAACTAGTTTGAACTTCCCTTTTCTTCTCCAGTATAAAAACAAAATATGAGCCAAGTGGAGAAAACACAGGGAAATCAGATTCAGATTTTTTTTAAATGTCTTTGCCTAAATAGCTAAGCCTGATAGTCGTGGGTCCCATTGTTAGCTTTGTTTTTGTGACTTGCCCCAAATGACCCTCTTTGTCCTTTGGAAGCTCTGTAAAGGTTCATTTCATTGTGCAATGTGTCTTTTCTTGGCTAAATTCTCTGTAGGATCCAGCAGATCTAGAGTGAGCCTAACCTGTATTGTGTCCCTGCAGCACTCAGTTCAAACAAGCAAGTGGAACCAGAGGTAGGCATGGGTTAGACTGATTCCTCTTCCATGGAATCAAAAACTGTGTCCTTCATTTTAATAAAGAATGCTGAATGCATAATCTCACACTCAACATACATAATAAATATTGGCTTAGAATGAGTGTTTGAAACTTCACAAACAAATCACTTTGTATATTGAAAATACCTATTTTCAGGAAATTAAATTCGGAATTCTGACTCAGTACATTTAAACACATGTACCAAAGAAAGTTCAACTGTTGGAAACATGATTCCATCATGGGGTAGTGTTCAGAGATGGAACCCTCATGAATGAATTAATGTTTTCTTGAGTTACATATCACAGAATTAAGTCCTCTCTTATCCCTTCTGTAAAAAGACATTTGCACTTCCACTCACAAAGGCTCCCCCAGAAAGCAGGGTGAGGCCATTGTCATGCTCCAGCTTCCAGACAATACATCAAAATATGGAGCTGTATAAACCACACCCAGTCTCAGGTGTTTTGCTATAGGTACACACACACACACACACACACACACACACACACACACACACTGTGAAGACATAGTAGATGTGATTCAGTAACTTGGATTTTTAACCCACATTCTATCTGATTCCAAACCCAGGTGGATGTCTATACTCAGAGAAGTATAAACTTACATTTTACTCTAGTATGTCTTACGTTAATTTCTAGGATGGTTAGGTACAATAATCTAAATATATTTGTGCTCTAAAACTGTCCCTGGAAAGTGAAAAATCTGCTTGTGTGTTTTTACATCTATAACATATCTAAACATGCTTTTAATTGGCATGCTTTTATGTTAGGGTATTTTTCAGAGGCGTTCCTGATCTTTGAGTTTATTTGAAACTTCTTTTCACTCTTTGGAAAGTATAATAATGGGTGTGGGCACAGCTTTCAAGGCAACAGAGCCTGAAAAAGAAGATAACAAAAATAGTATTCAGAGAAAATAAACTAAAAATAACACTCTTGAAGATGTGGCAGAGTTAAGGGAATACCCACAGCTGTGGCAAGCTATTCTCTGGAGAAAGAGCTTTTATGATGAACTAAAAGACCATTTCTCATGCCTCATGCCAATCAGAACATAAATTACAGGTGTTGGCTTTATTTTGTTTTCTTCTGTTCTAAAAAGATAAGTGTGGACATTTTCTTAATTTTCAATAATAAAAGGGAAAGTAAGTATTGATTCTTTGTGACACAACCCAATGTGGGTTGAGAATGATGTAGATACAAGGAACTAACGTGTTTTAGTAGACTATGTGGAATGAATTTTTGTTGGAAATATTCATCTGTTCCACATCAGAGCTTAACTATATCCACATCTATATTTGGTTATGGCTATAAGCCTCTGATTTAAAATCAATGGCTCCAGTGTGTCCAAACACCAGGGTCAAAATCCTGAGGGATTTTGAACTATACTTAGAACTAATTTTTCATGTGGTACAATGACTATGTATTATGCCAATAAAAGTATGTAATGCAATAATCATAAAATAGCAGTTAAATTCATATCAGTAGAGCAGGACAGGGTGCCCATAATTTATGGTCCCTCTGCTTTGTTGCAATATTGTTTTGAAGAGTATGCCCGGTCCATTTATGCTTGCTGTCGTGATGCCTTCATTCTCTCTTCATAAGAGAAAACCTTTTGATGCCTGCAAAGCTAACACGCTAAACTAGAGTCTCTGGCACAGTTCTGCTTGAGTCCTGTATTGATGCCTTCTTTTCAAGTTGGATTTGTGGATTCAGCACTCATCAGTATTCCTTCGTCTCTTGAGGAAGTCTACCAGTCTAGCTGTCCACCTATCTATTCCATCATCATCTGTCATCTTTCATGTACCTTTCAAAATGATTTGTTCAAATGTACATACTGCTTTTGCTTTTAATGTTAAAATATCAAGTACCAGCCACCTTCCTTCTGCCATTGCTTTCTGTGTTTCTCTCTGCACCAGCCACCCAAGCCTCATTGCTCTATGAGGATTGTGAGCACATTGTCACAAAAGATTTTGCAAATTTCCTTCCATCAGACCTGGGAGGAAATCCCACAGTATAGTTTCTTTCTATGACCCCTTCAAATCTTAGAATGTCACTTTTAGTCCATCCAATTAGAAGTTTTATTTCCAGTTATATAGCTCCTGTTCCCACAGTGTTTATCACCATCCAACATAGTATGTGACATGTTTGACATGATTACAGCATCAATCTTCAGAATAAAGTTTCATTATATCAGTGAATGGACTCTAATTTTTCATTAAAGCATTTTCAACATCTAGAGCCCTTTTTGTTACATCAATGACAAATGTAATGACTAGTGTTAATTGTTAAATAAATAGAATCTTGAATCACTTAGGGGAATGGGCCTCTGAATATGTGTGTAGAGGATTATCTTAATTGGGTTAATTGAGGTGAAAATACCAATAGCAACTGTGAGTGATGCTATTCATGAGCCGGGTCCTAGACTGAAGGAAAAAATAGTGGGTGGCATGCATAAGAATCATTGCTCTGTTTCTTGGCTATGGAACCATGAACCTGTTCTCTCAAGCTCCTGCCCATTTAACTTCCTCGCAGTGATGGACAATAACCTGGAGCCATAAGCCAGAATGAAGCCATTCTCACTTACATTACTTTTGTTACAGTATTTATCACAGCTACTGGAAAAGAAACCAAAACATGCTTAGTAAATATCTGCTGCTTGATGGGACTAACACATGCATTTTTAGACAAGAAGGGAAATAATCCCATTTTCAAAAGGCATGCAATTGTCATGCACATGTCTACAATATGCATCTGCATTCTAAGCAATTGAAACTATTCAACTTTTTAAAATTTTCTTTCATTAGAAATTATCAATTTTAACTTTTCCTTAATCACACTGGATTCTTATATAATGCTTACATAGCTCTTTAAGACAGTGAATTCAAGGCTAAAGTTGTGAGTTCAAGGATAGTCTAGACTATATAGTGAAATTCTGTCTAAAATTAAACAAAATTAAAACAAGAAAATAACCAAGTGCTGTACTGAACTAAAGTTTGTGGTTGCCACTCCTTTTGTTAAAATTTTATGATTGTCACACTTAATTTTAAAAAAGTGTTGTTCTTTAATTAAAGGATGTCATATACTTTGGTTGATTTACAGTTTTTCTTTGCCTTTTTCTTTTTCTTTTCTTTTTCTTTTTCTTTTTGCTTTAAATTGATTGTTTTGCACTGAAGTTAGGGTATACTTTTCAAGTAAATTTAATATTATTTGAAGAGTTTGTAATTTATAGGATATGACATTCAAGTAGATAGAATAGCCTCAAAGCACAATGGTGTTTATTGTGGTTTCCACTACTGTTTACTGTTTGTAGTGAATAGACCTTGTTTGAGTTTAAAAAAAAAAGTAGAAACTATTTTATTTGGCCTAAAAAAATTACTGCAAACACTGGTGGATTGCATAGTTGGCCTTTATTCACTGCCATAATTAACTAACTTCAATGTTGTCTCTCAAGAGCAGTTAGATTGTAATTATTTTCTCATATGTACCATGCCAAGATAATGGAGACTTCTAAGTAGAGTTTTCACACTAAATAAAATAGGCAAATCAGCAGGCAGGCACACAACTGGTGTGTGTGTGTGTGTGTGTGTGTGTGTGTATTTCCTCCTATAATCAAAGCAGTGGCCTTATAAAGAAGCCAGGTTTATCAGTTCATAAAATGGGGAAACTTAACAGAAGCGTCAAATATAATCCCAGTGAAACGTTTGAGAAACAGGCTGTACCGAAAAAGCAAAACAAAACAAAAACCAAAAAGCACTAAATACGTTATCAAAAATGGAAAATTTTTCAAGACAATTATCTTAAAGTTTTGTCTGACTTAGTTTTTCAAAATCCCTAAAACAACCGTGATATAAATTTACATAACTGGGTAACACTAGCATCCTGTCACTCAAAGGCATCCCCAGAAAGATCTACCAAAACCCACACAGTGATTTGCAGACTAGTTCTCCGACCTCAGTACCTGGTGGGGAGAGCACAGCTTCTTGTCGCCCGTTAGCCGGTTCCCATCCAGCGAGAACAGGAAGCTTCTTTGCTTGACACTGTCTTCGGATTCTGACTTGGGAAACCTGTCCCCATCGGTTCTGTGGTTTCCTTCCAAGTGCTCCCTCTGTCTCCTCTTCTTTCTCCGGTTCCTCCACTCCTTGGCACTCTTGGAGCTTAACTTGGAAGCTTCTGAAGAACTCTCCAACAGTTCTCCTAACCCTCCTATCCCACTGAAGTCTCTCGATGCTGCCGAGGCTGCAGCCACTGCCTGTTGGGGCCAGGAGATGTTTGGATTAAGTGCCTGGAAGGAGGAGCCAGGGCAGGCATGCTGACACCTATGATCATCATCTAGGAGGAAGAACTCTGCATTCTGGTTTACCGAACAATAACTGTTACCTTTTCTAAAGGCATAATACAATGTGTATCAAAGCAAGAACAGCCCAGTGTAGAGCATGGTCTGGACTGGCATTTAATGCAGAACTCTCCAGAGGTCAGCTTCAGTTCAGGAGACATTTGCTGACCTGAAAGAACTTTGTCTCCATTAAGAGTACCTGTTGCTTTGGAGCTATATCGTCTTTGATCACTGTCCTGCTTTTCCTCTGGATTGTTCCTCTTCTGTGTGATTGGGAATAAGCATGTGGTCCTGCATCATTTGTTTGCTTTTCTTTTATTTTTGTGACATTTCAAGATTAGGGTGTGGTGGTGTACAATTTTAACCCTAGCATTTGTAGGACAGAAGAAAGAGGACTGGGAATTTGTAACAAGCCTGGGCTACTCAGTTAGAAAGCCCTCAGTAAATCCTTGGTGAGCAAAGATATAAAAGGCTTCTTAGTGTCAATCTCCTGACAGTAGTGTTGCACAGGGGGACAACTTAGCTTCAATTTTCAAGATCTCACAGAAGGCTGTGTGGGATGGCAATATGCTTAAGGAAGGGATAAAGGTAAGACCCATTTAATGAATTTGGTCAGCACTGTGTGCTATGTTCCTTCCTGAGAATAAGCAAGCCCTCTTGAGTATTTTTTCAACTTTATGTTAACTAAAATAAAAAAGCCTTAAAATGAAACACATTATGTTGCATCATTTCTTGGGTCAGTAGGATCTCAGTAGCAGTTGGATATTGAGTACAGTCTTGAATTTATGTATTGAACTCAGCAATACAGAACATGTAACATGGATATTTGTTTATATTGAGCACTAGACCCATGCAGGCACCCTGATTCAACAGTGATGTGAGACAATACCTATAAAGTAACTGAAATTGTAAGTCAGCATTTAGCTGTTTATAAAACTGTATGACAGACAATTGTTTTTATTTTTGACTGTACATTATTTCTTAAATCATCCATGATGACAGATGAGGAATAGTGAATATACAGTATAATATAACTACATATATGCACTAAAGTAAATCAACAAAAGCACATGACAGCAAATAAAATACAGCCTGTGCTATGCATAAGAGATATATAATATGTATTGCCAAATGTGTGAATACACATGTGTCTTTGTTCTATCCAAATAAAGGCCTAATTTTCCTTTCCCTGTGTACAGACACAAACACAGGACTGCCAGTGATATCATTTATAGACTTGTTTGTCCCTGAAAACATAGGAAGTAGTGATAATACTCTCTGGCCACAGTCCTGAGGCTACCATTCATTTAAATCACTTCTGGAGTTTGCTTTGCATATGACACGATTTCCCTGCCTATTCTGAGTAACAGCTCAAACAATTCAAATCCAAAACAGTTTTGCTTTTTTTATTTTGGCAACAAAAGCAACCTCCGACACAACATATTTTCCATGTCACTCATCAACTCAAATCTGTCACTTGTTCCACTTTCATAGATTTGCCGACTCCCTCAAAGGCAGATGTTTCCTGTCGTCACTCATGTCTGTGCACCTGTTTACTCCCAACTCTGAGATGTGGCCAATGTCCTGCTTGTTCAGACTCATAGTCAATCATTCACAACAAACCTCCTGAATTCCTCTCCTAAGAAATGGCAAGTTAATAGCCAATGTTTATGTAGGTAACATTTTCTTAGGGTATTCTCTATAACTCAAAGTGAATGCTATAATTTATACTGTATCTATGAATCCTTCAAAATGCAATCACATGACTAATTCTTCATTTTAAACATGAGATTAAGTTAAAATCCCGTTCAAAGCCATGAGATACTAACCACAATCCTTTAATTTATACTAGATATCTTAAATGTCATGATTTCAAATTGTACCCTGTAGCTTACTCTAATATTTTCCCAATAGACCTATGCAGTTCGGGATAGGCTAAATTGGGTAATATTGAAATTTAGAGATTACAAATTAAATATCAAGTACAATAACAATGATTGGAGACAGAACATTTGTGTCTAATGCTAGCTTTTCCGTTTTTAAAATTCACATTTGATTTTGTGAGTCCACTGAGCTGTGTGCATTTCCCATTCTACAAAAATGATTAAACCCATAGGGCCTTTAACAAACATTAAGTAAAAATGAAAGTGATGCTGTGTTTCATGAGGCTACTGACTGGATGGCAAGTTCTGAAGGGTCCTAGGTAATGGACAAGACCTGGACTTCATAAGTACACACTAAGTCTTCTTCCCCTTCCTCTACAATTCAGCTATCATTATTAACAAACAAGCAAAAAACCAAAAACCTAACATGGACTTGGTACCCTGATACCCTCCCAAAATACACCTTTCTCTGAACTATGCTTTGAGTGATATAAAATCAGTGCTATATGCAATCGTGATTTGGCCATTACAATCCAGTAATTGGTTATTAAGTGGGGAAATGACATATTTTAATTTAACAAGGAGATAAACAATCATCCCCTTCAATCTCTTTTTAGACATAGCCTAAACCTAGCTTAGAATTTCACTTCTGAAGTTTAAAAGACTGTGTACCTTTAATTTGTGTGGTATTTTACCTCCAAGTGACCATATTTCAGGAAATATTATTCTTATAGTGTGTTGTCTGTGTAGCATTTGCAAGTAACTCAGAATAGTTGAAAAATCAAACTTTGGATTTATAAATTCCAATTATATATTGCAATTTCAAATAGTAATTCAATGATCTAAGTCTATTCATATGAGAAAAAGATAAACTCAAAAAAGCCAGTAAGTAAAACACTTTGATTGGACCTCTACTTCTGGTCCAGTGGGACTAGCAGGAGCCAGATTTGCTCCTTCCTGAAATAATCAAGACAATAGAAAACTAGACAAAATGATGGTTCTGAAGACACTGGACTTCTAACTAAGATGTTCTAAAACAATGGAAATGGGAAAGCATGAAAGCTCCATCAGTATTCTAAATTAAGATCTTGGACTGATAGGCTGAAATGCAGTGAAAAGGTGCACTTCATGCAGACTCCATCAGCGGAGGAGGTGGAGCTGAAAATACACAATAGCCAAGGTGGCTGTTGTTCATAGGACCGACAAGGAAAGGTCTAAACATGATAGAACCCTGGAGCTCTTTTGAGATTAATCTTGAGTATTGAGCCTACTCAATACTGTGTGTGTGTGTGTGTGTGTGTGTGTGTGTGTGTGTGTGTGTGTCTGTGCGTGTGCTCATGCATGCGTGAGAGAGAAGGAGATGAAGCTTCCTGAGTTATTAGAGAGAAGGCACCCTCTATTCACACTACTTTATGCATGTATTGACTATCTGCACTAGCAAGCACTTTGTTTTAAAGGACATTGAGTATTATTTAGGGACGCTGTCACTGTTACATTAAATACTACTTTGGTCCTATCTGCCAAATCTTGAAATGTTTGAAGATGTGAAAACATCAAACTGCTAATTCATGTTGAAACTGCCTCATCACAAAGACCAAGAAGTTTTACTGCAATGCAAAAATGTCCAGTGATACCCAGAATACATTTTCTAGAATTCAATTGAGGGTTTTCAGAATCTTAAGAAGGAAAAAGGTGTAAACCAAGATACAGAAAAAAACTGAGATACACAAAATAAAACAAATAAACAAACTTAAAAGGCACTAAACAAAAATTAAAGTGATGCTACAACTATGCTGTATATGTTCAAAATATTAATCAGAGACAGCCATGAAGTCTGATATGATAAGTACAATAGATGGAATTAACACCAAACCAGGCAGTATAGCAAAAGATGATCAACTTGAAGATATGGATAGAGAAGCGTTCCAATATGGTATAGACAAGCTTGTTTAAAAACTTGTTTGGAACTATAAAGACTCAAAATATCTTTGAAAAGAAAACCAATGATAGAGTGATAACATGGTCATCTATAAAAATCACTGTAAAACTACAATAGTTCAGAATTTTTCTGTATAATAGCCCTGGCTGTCTTGGAACTCACTTTGTAGAACAGGCTGGCCTCAAACTCACAGAGATCCCGTCTCTGCCTCTGGAATGCTGGGATTAAAACTGTGTGTGCCACCATTGCCCACCTGGGCAATTGATTTTTGACAAAAGTGCCAAGCCAATTTAGCAGAGAAATGATTTTTTGTCCCCAAAATGGGTTTGAAATTATCACCTTTCTATGTAGACAAAGCAATATTTACAGCTAACATTTTATGCAAACATTCACTTATACTGGAAGTTGAGCACAGTGAATGCAGAAAGCTGTATAACTTTGAGAGACAATGTGGAAGAAATCTGAGGCAATTATTTAAAAAGTGGTTTAGATGCTACACCAAAAGCATTAGATCTAAACAACAACAAAAAAAAAAAAAAAAAAAAAAAAAAAAAAAAGGAAAGAAAGAAAGAAAAGAAAGAAAGAAAGAAAAGAGAAAAAGGTAATAAACTCTGCTTTATCAGAACAAAAAAACATTTGCTTTAAAACCATTATCAGATGAGAAGTCAGCTCCAGCAAATGTTAAAGACTTATACCCAAGAGTATAAAGACCACTTAAGACTTTTTAAGAAAACATGTTTTAAGATGATAAAACAAAGCCAAACAAAACTAAACAAAAAAGAGGACAAAGCATCTAGGAACTTTAGCACTCACTTCATAAAAGAAAGGCACAAAAGAAAAGTAAAAACAAAGGAGGTTTTTCTGTTTCGTTAGTTGTTAAAAACAAAACAAAACAAAACAAAACTACAAATTATAACAGCAAAGAAACTTATCAGCAAGGCCTACACAAAGACTAGCCATGCCAAGCTTTATCAGTGGCGGGAGGAAGGGAGCTAGGAACAGCAACAGGAAGAGACAGTCCTCAGGCTGCTGTGCATCTGCCCATAATCTTCTTGCAGTAACTAGATTGCCCACCCCACATCTTTTAGTCCAGTTCTGTGTTCCTATCTCTTCAAATTATGACTTCCTCAGTCAATACACACTACAGCACCCAGTCACTAAATAAACTTCAACATTGAAAATCTTGCTACTTGATGTCAGATGTGTTTCTGGTACCTTACTTTGGACAACAACAACCTATTGTGGTAATATAGCAACTCTGAAGAAGTCTGAAATGAAGCTGTTCACATAGGTTTCTCATAAGCTTTAGAGATGAATTAACTTCAGAATACAACTTCAAAGATTGCTGTTAGACTGCAATATTACTCGCTGGAAATCTCAATTATATTTCTTAAATCCCACCCTCAATTTCCATGAGACTATTGCATAAAAGCCTTCTCCTTAATGTATTCCTAGCAGCTAGCTATTTTCTCTATGGTATATGGTGTAACAAGTTTATTTGACTCCAGGATTATGAATAATTTTGAGTAGCATTTAATTTTCTAATTCCAATGGCTACATACAATACAAAATGGGAGCTCTGGCTTAGTTATGATGGCCAGAGATTCCAAATAAGAGAATAAAATACCAATGAAGAGCTGACAGCCACTCCGTACCTGGGCTTCCTCTTGCTGCTTCTTAAGCTGCTCCAACATCTGCTGAAACTCTGCCTCTTTCTGTTCAGCCTCCTCCAAGGTGGCCTGATTCTGCTCCTCATAGGCCATGGCCACCACAGCCAGGATCAAGTTCACCAAATAAAAAGAGCCCAAGAAAATCACCAGGACAAAAAATATCATGTAGGTCTTCCCAGCTGCACGTAATGTCTAATGTAGAAAGGGGATAATTTCATTGATGTTTTAATATAATATCCCCAAGTAAAAATCAGTCTACAACAGCTAGAAACCAGGAAATCAATCGTTTTTAGTATCCAACTATTTTAACCAAATAATTTTTGATGTTAAAGGAGCAAATATGTACATGTAAACATAACAATCAGACCATCAACAGTAAGACAGCTGTGTCATTTGTCATGAAATTTCAAAGTAGTACTTGTCTGATCTACATCAAAGTTTTGTTATTAGGGTTCCTAATGCAGGACAATGCTATAAATGTCATGCTTCCCTGTTTTCTACAGATTCAGCTAAATGACTTTCATATAAGAAATTCCCCATACATATACTTCCATAATGTGAGTACATTTGTGTACATATATGAATGCATATGCTTCATGTAAGAAACCCTCCATGTTTTTTTCCCAGTATCTATTATTATATATCCATACTTCCAGGATAAATCCCATAGCAGAGGGTCTTTTGCCTAAGAAACTTATTGTGTGTATATGTGCTTGTATATAAAAAAGATGGGGTGAGAGAGAGGTGGGAAGGGGGAGGGGAGAGGAGGGGAAAAGAGGAAAGGGTAAGAAAGGAGACTGAAGAAGATTCTAGGCAGGTCTACTCTAATATTATGACCTCCTCAATATCCTTGAGTGTTACGAATCAGTACTTAGAATTTCGTATGAGTTCATCAATATAAATCCTACTTGTGTAAGTTCAGTTCATACCAACTGGTAAAGATTCTCCCAGTAATCTTGAGTCATGAGTCGAAACAGAGATAAGAAGGCCCAGCTAAATGTGTCAAAACTTGTGTAGCCATAGTTGGGGTTTCTTCCAGCTTTCACACAGATGTATCCTTCTGGACATTGTCTGTGAAAGAAAGAAACAATGGGGGTTGTGCCAGACAAAGTGCAGCTATTTCCACCAATCACTCTTTATAGGTTTTTGCCAAAAGCCAAAGTTATTTTCTATGATGAGAATTTTATTTCCAGACTGCTTTAACCGATGGCTCACAGCAGAAAAATGAAGAACAGGGAGTCAAATTTATTACTTGGAAAGACGAGAGGGTAGCAGCCAGACATTCCTGCTCTGACATCATCATTATGCACCCCTTCCAAAATGGTAGGAATCAATAACTCAAAATTAAGGAGGATAAAGTAAGTCAGCAAGATGGCCTTCTGACCAGTCCTGTAGAACTGTCTGAAATAACCTCACATTACAAAACACTCAGCTTTAAGGGAAATCTATGACATTAGTAGAATTTCCTGTACCATGATGCTCAGGTCTTAATGTCAATATATCATCATCAACTATGATTTTTACTCACATGTCCCTAGTCTTTCCTTAGAACTCTTCCATGCCAGATAGCTTTCCCCACTCAAGTTTACATTGTCCTCCCTTTCTAGACTCAACTCTTTGGAAGAGAATATAGACATGGGCATTTATTTCATACTTTGAATGACATTTGATTTCTTGCAAAAAAAAATTCCCTTCTTTGACCTCTGGGATCCTTTGAGTTGGCTCTGGGAACAGACAACCTCCACTATTTCAACCTTGTTTTTCCTTTTATCTGGTAGCACTTCTTAAGTTTCTAGTATATTTCAGACTAATCTTTGCTATTTCCTGAGAGAGTGTTAGAATTGAACATCCCTTTAAGTAGCCCTGATTCCTCTTAAGGATAACAGTATCAGAAACCAAAGTCTGGGCAGCAGGTGGTGTTTATTACTACTGAGCTGTCTATCTGTACTTCTGGGGCCCTGAGCTGATGGAACAAGAAAGTACTTGTGCACATCCTTACGTGCAATGTACACGCACATAAACATGTAGTTATTTGTGCTTATATGCAGCTGCATTTGGAGTACATCTTTTACCTTGAACTCTAACCCATCAGCACAAGGATCATCATAGACCTCTCCCATTGCTTGCTTGTAACTTGTCACTCTCACAGTGAGCAGCCTGGCTCCCATCATCTCTCTTCATTTTCTCAGTTGTTCAACACCAGTGTATATGCACAGGGGCTTTGGGATTAGCCATACATGCTACCTTAGGGAATATTTCATTGCTAGGCAACTGCTCATTTCTCTTTAGTGTTACAGACTCTGATCACATCCTAAATTAAAGTTAGGATTTTACAGACTTCTCTTTTTACCTCACATTTTTTAGATTGTTTCATATATTTGAGCTATCTTTAAAATTTTTGTCATATATTTATTTAAATTTCATCTTGGGGTTTTTAATTTTGCATCAATTATTTTCTCTTCTGTGTTCTATGACTTGACAAATGCTTAATATATTTACCACTAACGAATCATATAGAATACTTTTCCTACCTTAAATATACTGTGTTTTCTACCTAATTCATTCTTAATAAAGAATCCCTTTAAACTCTGATCTTTTGTTCATCTTTGTTATTTTTCCTTTTGAGACATCATGTGACTTTAATATTGGGAGTGTGTAGCTTTTTCAGGTTGAATGTTTTCCTTTCTCACATATGAATGTGAGTTTCAGATTCATTTATTACTTGATAATATTGAATTATACGTGCATAAACAGTTATGTGTTTATTTAGATATGCAATGATGTTTTGGCTGCTTCCAGTTTGGATTGCTTTATGTATACAGCCAAGGAAAATAAACCTTTCAGATTTCTGTATAAATGTGTTTTCTTGTTAATTAACTCTCTATATAGTCCTGTGGTGGTGTGACTATTTTCTAAGGGTCTTACAAACATTCTTACTAATGGCATCTATGGCTCAGAGACTGTACTTCCTAGAAAGGCATCCACTCTTATTATTAACACGTAAAGGAATTTCTCCCACCTTTTAAAAATAAAATGTCCACATCTTTATTATTATTGTTGTTATTATGTCCTTCTTACCCTGCATCAGAGCCATTTCCACAGAGCAAAGGGTCTTTCTGTCCATCCAACACATAAAAGTGGCCTGTTAATATAAAGAATAAAAAATTTGATTTCATATTAAATTCTATTTACATTAAAAACATAGCGGAGTTGGGGGCCGGTGCAATGGGATAACTCTGTGTGTAAAGGTGCCTGTTTTTGACCTTGACAACCTGAATTTGATCTCCAGGACACACATGATAGAAGAAAAGAACTGACTCCCAGAATTCCTCTGTCTTCTTCATGTTTGCTGTTGTGCACTGGTACACCCCCTACACACTATTTTTTTTAAATTTGCAATACAGTTTTTAAAATATTCATCAGAGTTTTATGTTACTTCCCAAGGGTTTACCAACAAAGTGGCTTCACACATGAACTCTTTATAGGGGACAACTCTCTCAGCAACACTAAGGCTATATAGTGCCAATGTTCCTTACTGTCATCTGCGATGTAATCCTTCCAGTTGAATGTGCTCACTGTTACATTGACAAATGTCCCATTTGAATCCATCGTGCCATTGAAATAGGAAGTAGTGTTAGTTTCAAAAGCAGAATCACTAGGGGGCCACTGCAAACATTTATTCCTCAGGTTGCCCATGAACAGCTGCAGCCCAATTAGTGCAAAGACACTGAGACAGAACACAGTGAGGATCATGACGTCAGACAGCTTCTTCACCGACTGGATCAGGGCCCCCACGATGGTCTTTAAACCTTTGGAGAGAGGACTATATGTCAGTTGAGGAGTAGAGCAACGCATGACAACATTTCTTCTTAGTTGGTACACACATTCTATATCTCCCATGAATGGCAGCTCAGCTACAGAAGCTTTATGGACACAGAAGCCTTATGGACAGTCTCATGAGTTGGAAACAGATGGAGGGCTGATTTTCTATATGAACACCATGCTGCCAGAGGGTTCTGAACCACTCTTCACCAATCTTCAGCAAGTTCTTTCTGCGTGATATCATCTATTGCCACAAGCATGTAAGAAACTAAATTACAGTTACTTTTTCTTTCAAATATGGTGTTTCGCAAAGCTATTTCTCCCAATCGATTCTTTATGCCAGCCTGCAGGAATTGGTGATTAAAAGGCAAAAAGAATTTTAAAGCTGTAAAGATCCCATGTCACGCACATGCTGCTCCATAACCTTCTCTCCTTTATATATGACGATCTATTTTTGAAATAGATCTGGAGCAAATGGTAAAATACAAGGCAGTTAGTAAAGCCATTGACAGCAAAGCTTTATCAGAATGAAGGAGAGAAGACATACATTTTAAATACAAGAGACAGGTTATGAAAACACTCATCAATGAGATGTACATGTCTCATGCAACTTTCCGTTAAACTCAGAGGCTGACTTTATGAATCAACATTGTAAGGAACTGGACTAACACTGAAACATGATTTGACATTCTTGAATGTGACAGACCAGAATAACAAGCAACAAGGCCAACGGTGGGTTTGCAACTCCAATATTATTGTGGTATATTTAAAGTCAGCCTCGGTGTTTAACCTAGCTCTCACCTGGAATGACCGAAATTGTTTTCAATGCTCGGAGAACTCTGAACGTTCTCAACGCTGAGACATTGCCCAGGTCCACAAACTCTGTCACATATCTGTAATAGGGAGTTCACACACAAACACAATAACACACAAGAAAAGTTGGAGATATAAGGGCCTACCACCTTACACCATTTTCTTCTTACCTGGAATTACAGAAATAGTTTTCAGAGCTCGCAAGACTCTGAAAGTTCGAAGGGCTGAAACATTGCCTAGGCTTACAAATTCTGTTACATACCTGTAGGATTAAATCAGAGTTACAGATAGTTTTGGCAAAGTTTATTTTAAGTAACTAATGCTGGGTTGGCATCTAGAGCCCCTTGAGATATTCAAACAAAATTGATATAAAACCTCAGGGTGCCAAAGGATGAAGCCTGCCTTTAAGGGAAGAAATATTTCTTTATTTCAATGTAATTTTCATTTACATGAAGATGATTGCAAAATTTATTGCAGCACTGTAGTTTCTATTAAATTGCAGTTAATGAGTAACTTGACTTTGATGACAAGAAAGATGTAGGATATGACTCCGGTTATTGCTTGAAGACTATGAGGCAATAAAAATAATTCCATGTGTTGGTGATTTGCTAGACATATCTACCTTTTAATATTTAGTCAAATGCATAGTATCATAATGTATATGGCATAGAGTTGAGTTGACTAACAAGAAAGCTCTGTATTCAAAATATGTCTTAACTTGATTTATATAGCAAATATTTTCATTCCTTTGAATTTATCAAATTAAAAAAAATTACTCACGCCATCACGATGACACTGAAATCCAGCCAGTTCCATGGGTCACGAAGGAATGTGAAATCTTCTAAGCAAAACCCTCTTGCCAAAATTTTTATAAGGGACTCAAAGGTATAGATCCCAGTGAATGTATACCTAGGAAAAGCATCCAAGGAAAACTTAGCAACTGTGTAGGGGGAGTCAGAGAGATGGTTTTGAACATCAAAAACTCTAGCTTTTTTCTTTTAAATTTTCCAACATTTGGTTTCTTTTAGTACTTATCCAAGAATCTTAATTTAACTGTTCTTATTAAACTGAATAGAGGATTAAACTAAAGAGAAAAAAATGTATTTGTCAAAAATATATTCTTTAAAATTGTTGTTGCTAAACCTGTTATATTTCAGAACAATTGTTTCTTGCAGGAGTTGGGGAGGATGAATATGATCAAAATAACCTGTATAAAATTCTGAAAGGGCTAATAAAGATATTCACAAAAGGAAGGATAGCTTTCCATATTTTGTGGATTATCTTTAAGTTTGAGCTCCTAGAGTATCTACAGAAGTAGAATGTCAGCCATAAAGGCAAGGTTCTAACTGCTACTGGGCAAAGTAACAATAAGTAGTCAAATTTTCACTTTCCTAGCCACATAGCTTTTTTCTTTGAGAGGCATCATAGTGTGGTTCTTGTACCTTTATTGAAATATTCCTATTCATATTTTCTAATGATTAAGCTCAGTTAAGGCTATTATAATAGACTGTAAATAGTTTATTTTTTAATTCTTGAGTCAGGTATAGAATTATAAAACTGCCCCCCATCTATCTCTTTGTCGCCTTCATGTATACATTTATGATTCCATAAGATGCATTGCTTCTCCAGCATCTCGTGTCCATGATTTGTCTAAAATCCTCAGATCATGGATATATTAAATTGTTCAATATAATTTGTATTCAGACTTGCTTGAATTCTAATCTCAGCCTTCAAAGGGCAAACAGCTTTTGGGCTTTTGGTCTGTCATTGTGCATTCTAGCCTGTTTCTCCGAGTGATGACAATTTAAGTTATTTTGGTTTCTTCCAAAAATATTGGGGAGTGCTTGTTTTTAAACACTATGTTCTTTAAAAGTACAATTTGAGTTTATTTTTCTGAGTATTTTATCTAAGTCATAGAAACAAGATTTGATTTTCTTATGGCAACTCATTGTGTTTTACAGCCTACAAATCGCTTACATATACAAAGTGTTAGGATCAGTAATTTTCAAAGCCTTTTCAGGAGACGTTCTCTCATTGGGAAGAACAAAGATAGATGCAGAAATCATCACATTTAGTTTCCCAAGTATATTTTCCCTCCATCCCCCACCCCTCACTAAGCCCAAGTGGTTATAGTATCAGTAAGTATAATCACTACTTACAAAGTAGATGAATGTTAAGAAGAAATGCATTTTACCATACTATGCTTGTGTGGATTTGTATTTTAGTTTGGATGTATGTGTACAACATGAAGTAACCTCTGTGTTCACCCCAGAACTGACGTATCTTATTGTCTTCTCTTTCCCTTGGATTCGATGTACATTTGTTTCTGTTTGGTTTCACTTTTTAAATTAAAATATTTTTTAAGTGATAATCACAATTTTGCCTGTTTTATTACTACAATGCAAAAACTACCACAAATAGTTGGAAAATTGCTTAATAGACATGTGCAAGTCCAAAACTTTTATAATGCTAAGACTGTTTTGATAGAATATAGAGCATCTCTAAGTTACTACTTTCCCTTAAAAAGAGACACTCAGGGCTAGCCAGATGACTGATTGTTTTCCAGAAGACTCAGGTTGCATTCTGTACTCCAGTCCCAGGGCATCCAATACTCTTTTTTGGCCTCCTCAGGCACTACACACACATGGTATGCACACATATATGAAGACAAAACACTCATATACATAAAAATAAAATTAAAAAGATTCATATCCACATATTCCTACTTAACTTTCAGTATTATATTATTAAAATTAAATTAAATGTGATTTATATGTGCCTAAATGCATCAATTAGTCTTACTGGAAAAGGTTTATACACAGCAGTTTTTTATAGCTGTATCTGTTATTTTGGCTAAAAGGGCTGTTTCAACCTAAAAACAGGAGCTACTATGGCAGTAACATCTAGAAAGCGTTTTCAAATGTTCTGAATGATCTTATGCTAAAATACAAATCATTGACAAATGATGGCTTAGAATGGCAAAGTAAAATTTCATAGTAATCTCTGAAAGCGTTAATAATAAAAGTTGATGTCATTTGTTTGGACATCATTTCAAAACTATAAAATCAAAAGACAGAAGTGTTTAGCTTGACTTCAAAAAGCAGAAGTCACAAGTCAGACTATTATCACAAAGAGATTTCCAGAGAATCTGAATGTGTTTTCCCTTTTTCATTTCAATAAGTTATTCCTACTTACTCTACATTCTTTGTCCAGTCTGGAGGATTACTCAATGTCATAAATACACAGTTGGTCAAAATAGTGCACATGATAAGCATGCTGAATAAAGTAGATTGTAGTTAAGGAATAAATGTCAATTCATTATAGACACATAAAACCCATCCACCACAAAAGATTCCAAAGCACAAATTAACTGTGAAATTAATCTTACTTAGCTGGGTTGTGACAATGCTGAGTAAAGCCAAAGCCTCTCATATGGTTTAGTAGTCTTTCTAATGCTTTTACCCCAATTCGGAATTCTCCTTTGACAGATACTGCAACAAGTTTATGGGGATGGCAGTGATGGGACCCATTTCTTTATCATTTACAGCAGGTATAGGGGGGTGTTGTTTTGTGCTAACAAGGTGGTAGTATTGCCATTCTGTCTGGAACATTGTTCTTGCTTTTTCAATATAGATTTCACTACCAGGAAATTCATGTGATGAATGATTTTATTTTAAAATATGATCATTTTTGAACATTAAAATTCAGAATGAGAGCATTCATATTCAAAAGATTATTTCCCATTTGTTGTGTACATATGATAATGTATTTTGCTTTATTTTGAACTTTTCCTATAGGAAATTCCCACTATTCAACACTATCCTAAACTCATTTTGTCATTACTTCAACATTTATTGTATTCTGTGCTCAGTCTTCCCATCACATGTACTTTTATTTAAACTTATAATTTGCACATGTGTATGTCATACTGGGAATCTATTCCAGCACCTTTAACATGCTGAGCTAGTGCTTTAACACTGAGCTATATCCCAGGCCCAATAGGAATTTGAATATTGATGCCTTTTTGATACATTACTATCCAGGCACATAGAGATATAAAAGTTCCATGAATATTTACAAAAAGAAGGAAAAAGAAGGAAGAAAGCAAGAAAGGAATGGTAGATATGAGGGAAGGGAGTAAAGGAAGTAAGGAGAGGGGAGGGAGAATGGAGGTAAATTTGCTGAAGATTGCTAATTAAGACTTGAATTTTGGAGCATTTGTCAATACATATAGTGACACTAAGTATATATACTATATAGATTATACATATAATAACTATAATAGGCTACACTTCTTAAGAATTAGTGATTTAGTAGAGGCTAGTAAAGGGCTCTCATTTTTGCTATACAATATTGTCCATTAACACACTTTTTGCATGGCTTCATATTTCCTTCCAGAACCATGATAACAATTCCATGATAAACTTGTTATATAAATAAAAGAAGGCTAATCATTGGAAATCAATCCCTTAAACTAACAGTGTTATCATCCACTGCAAAGAAATTTTACAAATATTAAAATATGAGAAAGATATTTCATTGGAAATCAACCATTTAGAAACAGCATTTGGACAATTCATATGAAAAGGATATGAGTGTACCAAAATCTTAATAGCAATTTTCCTAACAGGGTTTAGCGGCGTTAAAATGTACAAGGCGGAGGTGGCACTGAATCGAAAAATTGCCTTCCCTTTATTCAACACCACAAAAGTCTGAAAAAGAAAATACGAGGGAGATTACATTTAGACACGCGGGCTTATTTGAAGCATTTACAACACACACCAAGAACGTTTTACCTGATTTGTTTCTTCAGACATGTTCATGTAGATGACTTGGAACATAACAAATATCCTGTTTACTAGACACAGGCTACATATTTCTCCTCTAAACATGATGCCGCAATAAAGGTCTAGTTGACCAGTATTTGTTCTGTTTCTAATCCTCCAAACTTGTCAATACAGGCTGATAGCCCTACACACTTTTTTTTTTTTTTTTTTTTTTTTTTTTTAAATCAAATTACACAGCCGTACAGACTTTGTTTCTATTTGAGGCTTGCCATCTGTCTCCAGCTTTGGTAACTTTTCAGATTATTCTGGATGCATAGCTGTTAAAATAATCTTTTTTCTAGATATTTCAATCACAGTGCTAACCCTAATTTTGTGGTGGCCTCCCTTCATCTCTGTAGCAGTTCCAATGATTTAAGACATTTAGATAAGTCATAGAACCTTATTTTGTGGGTGAAGAATGACCCACTTCACAGCTTATGCTGAGAAAAAGACAGCTGCATTGAAAATTAATTTCAATTCATGACTTCAAAGGCCTTGCTATAGTTAAAAGTTTATGATCTGAAACATACAATCATCAGCTTAGCATTTAAGATATGCAGACCCATGATTACATATCAAGGCCCCAGGATGGATCATCCTTTATTTTTTACCACTAGAGTCATCTCTGTTGCAACTATTTAATCCACTTGTCAGTCCCACTCAGAGCCTGTCAATCTCTCCCTCTGGCTCTGATGAGCATGCTCACAGAAAAGATTCTACCCATATTCAGGTTAACCCACCTGTCATAACCCTCTATTCAAAAAGAAGTTTTGAAAATACCTTCATGCTAGAATGTCCAGGGAAGGCTTCAGAATTGTCAATATTTAAATTTTGGAGACAGGCCAGTATTTATGTATTTTTAAACATTCTCAGGTAATTCTAATATGCAGGCAGCCTTATTATTCAATCCTTTTTTTTTTCATTCTCAATACCCAAATCATTCCCCCCTCACATTTTCCTAGATAAATCGCAATGCCTTCTAGTAATTCCCTAGCTGTTTCTCTTGCCAATAAGTCTTCGTATAATACTTTGCACTCTTTTTCATGTTGCTTGTAATCACCATTAAGTAGCAATTTCCACGTAGGGTTCATTCCCAGGAGAACCTGGTTAGAAGTTTTTGTAAGTGACTGAGCACAAAGGACCTGTAGTCTGGTTGCATTTCTCCCACAGTATTTAATAGTGCGGTTTGCAAATAAACACTTGTTCTAATTAAATATGGGTTTACCTTGAAGGCGCTGTTCACCTTTATGTCATCTGTTGTATGCACTGCTCTACTTAATAACATGTTTGTACCCTTTAACTAAGGCTATATCCATACATTCACAGTGACTAGCTATACACTCTGTTTGAAGAGGCAGGCAGGAATGTTTATACTGTGAGCAGAGAGGGCAGAGACAACAAACAATCCTCTCACTGCCTTCTATATTTACAACCATGGAGCCAATAATTACTTAACTAACCACTTTCAATGAACTGAGCTCTATAAATTCTAAGAGAAGGGCAAGCAAACTATCCCATACTAACATCAGGATTATCTACAAGTGACCAGGAACCTCACTAAGCCTGCCCTTGAACTATGGGAGCATTAGTAGACTGTCATGAATTCACCCTCAAGTAGTCAAGATCCATTTAGGCATCAGCATTGGCAACAGTGTGTAAAAGTTCACGATAATTTGCAGTGCATTAACTCATGCTCTTTGAAACAATTTCCCTGAAAAAGAAATTTCTACTTGTAACATTAGAAGGGGGTTTTATTATGAAATATCTCTAAAAATAGAGCAAGCAGGAATGAACTGTCCTTTTAAATATGAAGCCCTGTGTGTTTCTGGCAAGGTCAGTCTGTGGATGCTAGTGGGTGCTAGAATGGTCAGTGCTGAGTGAGCATCAGCTTTAGATTTATAGCTCAGGTCAGGACAGAGCTGAAGAACACACACCCAAGTGCTGGTGAAAGAGTTACATGGAATGTTTGAAACATGGAGTTCTGATGCTATTGAATGATGTATGTACACCAAAAATTACACGAGAGCATATCAGATGGCTGGGTGGTTGATAAATAACACTAGTTCCAAAGCCAGGTTTCTAAGTGATGGTAAGTGGTGAGGCACCTTAAAAAGATTTAGCGCATATTGCCACAATCCTTATAAACGCCATGGCCGGTTAGTTTCAACAGTTATTTTCTTCTCTGTAATGCTGCTTGTTTCTTTTTATCTGGATGAATACTCATAAGCTCACTGAAAGTCTTGGTATTGTGAAAGAAATAACAGCTTTACACCTCAATGGGACAGGATGACATCAAGGACTGTATTAAAAAAAAGATGTGATCGATCTTTGACAATCTCTCCTTACATTCACTTCTATTGCAGGGAGTTTGACTAGCAGTCAAGAGCTCTGAAGATGGGCAGAGTAGGCTCAAGTCCTTGATCTGTCCCTGATGGATATGACTCTGGTAAGTTAAGGAATTGCCCTTGGCTTTACTTTCCCATCTGTAAACTGAGGCTAACAATAGTAACTGCCTTCCAGAACCATTGGTATGAAATGAATTGGAATATTCAAGTGGCTCCTAACATAGGGTGAGCCCAACAAATGTTAGCTATTATTATCATGCGACTATTTTTAAGCTGTTAACCTGACTAACTTAAATGCTATTAGAATACATTATGGTATTACTCATCTAGTTATATTAGTCACTAAGATACATCTTTACTTAGTGGCAGTAAATCGTTACATGAAGCACTAGAGTTCCATATTGCCTTTTACATACATTGTCATGTAGTAACAAGGCTTCACACACTATGGTAAAATTTTGTGTTCATACATTAACTGCTCCCTTTTCTGAAGGGAGCATCACTTTTCTCAAAGTAGTGCTCGAATCCTCACCCTCATAGATACTTTATAAATGAAGCCAGGGCAGCCAATAGTAAAAGGGTTATATAGATGTCTCCCATGATGGCTCAGAGTCATTGTCAATGAATCATGGTCCAAGTCTAGGTCCCAGCTTGGAGTGAGAAATGCTCTGACTTTTGCAGAGAACAGGGGATGACTCTGTTTTCTAGTGACAGATTCAAACAAACCAAACTATCTCAGGTAGAAAAGGAATTATAGTGATGCCTTTTCCTTGGGAGATCTTTGAGAAAGCAAATTATTGACAGAAAAGTCCTCGTTAAACACGGAGTCCAAACAGCTTACTTAATCGAATGGTGTGGTGGGTTATTTAATAACATCTCTTAGGTAGCCTAGGGTAGCCCTTTCACAAAGAGGTCATGTTGTTGTTGGGAACGAAGTTCTTTTAATGAAAGTAAACACAGTCCTCCATTGGATAATTTCTCTATTTTGTATATCAAACTTACTGACTCCTTTTGTAAAAAGTAGTTATGCCTTTATCATGTCAAATGAAAACAAACTCCAGTGTCCTTAAAGCAGCTTTAAAAACATATACTTTGGGGTTTATAGCTCAGGCTGTACTTTTAACTGAGGCTGGCCCTGAGCTCATGATTCTTCTGGCTTTGTCTCCTAAGTGCTGGGCTTATAAATATGAGACAATACTTATGGCTGCAAATGTATATTTCAGGTCATTATTTCTCTTATTTTCCCAATTTCTGAGAGGAGTGTCTTACTGTTAATCATAATTTATAACAACAGAGTTTCTAAATTTCAAATATTTCTTAATCATCTGTGCAATAGAGTACTGAAATTTATTTTAGAAACATTGAATGTTTATTTAATTGGAAACATATGAATGTATGTTTAATGTCTTCCTATCAATGGGACGTAACCTTTTGAAATATTTATTCTACTTTTATTTGTGTGTGTGTGTGTGTGTGTGTGTGTGTGTGTGTGTGTGTTCATGTGTGTGAGAGTGCTCACAGAGGCCAGAGTTGGGGGGGGGGATCAGTGAAGACAGTTCTGAGCCATCTCACCACGGGTGCTGTGAACCAACTCCAGTCCTCTGTAAGAACAGCACGTGCTCTTAACCACTGAGCCATCTTTCCATCCCCAGAACTAAAAACTTTAAATTCTATACTACCTAGAGAATGCAGCATCCTCAGCCATTGCTTTTTAAAAGTTCTATTTTGAAGAGTAAAGATGTTTTGTTTCTTTCTTAACCCATAAATCATCAAGATGAACTCAAAATGATGTTCATCTTCATAATGAACTGTTTTACTGTTGTGAAGGTAAACTATAAATTGTGATTAAAGGTGCCAAAATATCTATTTAGGAATTAAAACAGTATCCTTTATTTAGATTCTCTATGAATTTCACAAAGCTGGTTTAACTATAGAAACTGTCTAATTGTGGCAGACCTATGTAGTTATTTTGAGCATCAGGAAAACAGACATAACTGTTCCTTTAAATTATGTGAGGTTTATTATAACAATTGTTATTATTATCACGATTATATGTTCTTCTAATCTTCATATTTCTTTCTTTGTGGTAATGTTTTAACTATTTGTAGATGGTCCTAGAATTTAGCCTAGCACAAAAAATCTCAACAAACCCTGTAGAAGTTCCTGATCAAATGCCAGGTTAGATCATAAAAACTAAAAATGTATGTCTGGTTAAACATGCTTCTCCATGAATTACCTGTCTACAGGGAGAGATAAGTACATCACTGTCTTCTAGAACACAGATGATTGTAAGAAACATCAAATCAAGAATGAACTAAAAAATAAGTATAACATCCACCCTCTTTCGCCCTCATAACTACAATTTTGCTGTCTATCAAGCAGTTAAATGGGTTAGCAATAGCAGATATTTATCTTGGCTGTCAACTTTAAGTTTTCCCATTTATCTTGATACTGGGAAAGATAGAAATTGTTTATGCTTATTCTTCTGCAGCAGAGATTTAACTTCTTATGAATTTTCAGTGTTAGCTTTACTGTGCTTCAAGATATGTGGCAGTAAAGAATGCCATAAAATCTTTCACCAATGAAAATTCCAAGTCTTTACCATGCACATGCCCCCACTTTGCACATCTGATTGAGAATGTATTGGCCATATAAACTCAGCACTCACTTTCTTACTGACATAGTAGGGGTCCAGGTCCTCCAGGGGCTCTGACACCATCTCTGGAGGAATGTCTCCATAGATAAAAGGAAGGTTCTTCCCAGCTTCCAAGTCACTGTTTGGCTTTGGTTTGTTCTCATCGTCAATGTCTTGTTCTTTCTTGGGTTTCTTGGCTTTCTCTTCTGCAGCACGCTTTTCAATAGCGGCAAGGGATTCTCGCGTGAAAAGGCGGAAGCTCTCAGGTCCTGGGGGTACCAGCAGTGCCTGGGCCATCTTTTCATCCTGCACATTTAATTACGTTTAGCTTCTTGCATAAGAATTGCCTAAGTGGAAGGAAACCATGCATGAGTGTTAGGAAAGCAAAAGACAGAGAAGGAATAAGAAAGAAAACCCTGTGATTATTGGCCTTGGGGGGGGGGAATACTGTCCTGATTTGGTGATTAGCTACAAACTTTAACTGAGAAATAGCGTTCAAAATGATTTTCTGTTATTTCCATTATGATTCAGTAATTTAAAATAATTACATAAACATTTTTGCAGTGTATTCATATTTAAAATCACACACAATATATAGGATGCATTGCTTGACTAAAACAATAACACACAAAAAAAATCTTTTCTGAGACCTTGAGACCAAATGTACTATAGAACACTTTTGTTAAAAGAGCAATGACAGTAATGCTTTGTAATCAACTTTTAAGGAGCCATTTTTTAAATTCACACTTCTTGCATCACAATATATTGTTATTAAATAAGTGTGGGTAACAATGCAGTAATTGTGATACATGCCTTTTTCATTGCATCGCAGGACAGAGAAAAAAAAATTTAACCCAACCATGTTCCAGTGTGAATAAAAGAGGACAACCTGGGTGTCACCCTCATGAATACCACGCACCTTTGAAGCAATCTCTCATTGTCTGAGAGATGGCTGATAAGGATAGGCTGGCCAGTCAATGAGCCCCAAAGAACCACCCGTTTCTGCCTCCCCAGTACTGGTATTACAAGAGTGTGCCCATGCTTGACATTTTTATGAGGATTCTGGGAATTGAACTCATATCATCATGCTTGTATGGGGTAGCACTTGAACGATTGAGTTATCTTGCCAGTCTATTTCCTTTTAAAAATTAAGCCAAAGCTTTTTGCCATTTAGTTTTCCTCTTTGGAGCCTTTGGAGGTACTGCATTAGGCAGGCACACTATATTTAGTTCCTCTTTGGGTTTACTGCTCTTCAACTACTTGAGACAACTTTTGATGTTGTACTGGACTTTGCAGGCGCAGTGAGGCCACAGTCCTCAAGTTCTGCACCGTAACTCTGTCACTCATAGGCTGTGTGGATTTGGACAATGTGGCCCCCTGTTGCTTCAGTCCTCATCTATGAAAAAATGAATAATAGAAAATTTCATCTCCCAAGATGGCTAGAAATAATAACTAATTTATATTGTTTCTAAAAAAACAGCTATTTGGGATTTTAAAAACTCTATTGATGGCACATATCATCAGCTCTGCCAATCATTTTCCTTGTTATATTGTCAGGAATCTTCCCAAGTCAAATGTTTTCCTTTAAGAAAGTTCTTGATGTGCTGAGGCCACTACTGATCCTGAGCTTCAGGGAAAAAAATGGAGAATTACAGAGTTCAGGGACAAAAGACCCTCACCTAGCTGGAGAGGAGTTGAGAGATGGAAAGGGGATGGAGAGTTTTGGCTCAGTTTCTCAAGGAAATTATGGCAAACTGTGGAATCCAGTGATATGAATGTTGAAACAAAAGTAGCACTTACTTTATTTGTATTGGCCATAAAATCACAATTTTAAATTTCAAAAAGAAAAGTAGAAATTATGATAACAACAAAATATGATGTATATATCAGTCATCTTGTAGAAGGATTTGCAGCTATGGTGCGGAATTAATCATCAAAGTCCATAGTGACACTGCCTGCTTTTCCAACCTCCTCCAGCCCCTACATTCATTCTAGTCTTAGGGCAGTTTATCCGTAAATCACTTCCTGATGCTTGGCAAGTTCCTGTGTGGCAATACTAAGCAGACAGACAATGAGAAAACCTGAACTATTTATTAAAGGGAACAGATGATATTGCTTTGTTTTTATTGAGTTTTTACTGGAATTACTAGTTCCCTGATGCATTTCAGTTGCAAGGAACGTTTTTTCAACCTGAGGTCTCTGTTAGTATTTATAACATCACACCATCATACTGAGCCCTGTCAAAATGTCAAATTATCCTTTCACTAATTTTGTAAAGCACCTGTTTTGTGACTCTGGGTTTTGTTTGTTTCAATTTATTTCTTTTTCTAGATCAAGTAGCACATGTATTAGAAGGGGAAAGAACAGTTCCATTTTACATAGAGATGAAGTAGCCATTTATTTTGTGCTGTTTACTCATGGCAGGCTGCAGAAAACTGAACTAATACTTTCAGTATGTCCATTTGAACCCACTCTAGATCGTGTGTTTCTTGACTTTTTCAAGCCTGGGTCTCTCTGTATAGCTTTTCCTGTTCTGGAACTAGCTCTGTAGATCAGGCTAGACTTGAACCTACCTGCGCCTCCCAAGTGCTAAGATTAAAGGTGTGCACTATCACCACCCTGTGGTTGTATGTTTCTAAGTGCAGAAGTCACTGTTTCCCGCTCATCTTTAATACCCAGAGAATCAGAATCTATCTGTTTCACATCTCTAGTCTTGAACTCGGTGCCTATGGCTTATCCCTGTTGCTAAAATGGGAAGGCCACAGAGGAGTGGACACACATACTTTCCTGGTGGGCTAAAGTTGCTGTTATATTTGAATATCATGTTGAACTGATAGAGGAAAAAAATTGCCAAATCTGGGGTGGGCATTTCTGTAGAGTCAGCCTCAGAAAGCCTGTCTGTGTCATTTAGCCTTGCCATACATAGCATTATGGAAGAACCTCAAGAAGGTTCAGCGCATAAGGCACCTTTGCAGAGCCTGATAAACTGAACTCCCTTCCCAGAACTTGCATGGTGGAGGAAGAGAGGCAGCTACCCAAAGTTGTTCTCTGTTTTCCACATGTATAAAGTAGCATGTGTGCCTGTGCACACATGTGCACACACACTGAATAAATTCAAAAAGATTTCTTAAAAGAACCTTCTTGTTCTTTTATGCCAATAATTTGCCATAAAAAATGACTGGTTACACATTGATTTAATTTCATTGAAAGCTTCTAAGTCTTCAGTTTTCAAAATAAAATGCTGGACTTGAAAATCCCACAGTACTCTCCGGGGTTCATTCTGGTTTCTGTAAAACAATATGGAAAAAGATACTACCACACACTAAAAAAATATTTTTGCTGACAAAGAAATAATCATTTACCTTCTTGTTGCTTTACAAGGGGCCATAGTGAAGAACCTGATTGCTGGTCAGAATGAAGTACAAATGTCTATGAAATTCTCAGACAGTTATCTAAACCCTGAGACATATCAGTCCCTGCTCTCAATCTTGGGGAATTAGGGTATGGCCAGCATTTGGATTGGCTTCCATCTTTAGTGCACCCAGGATCCCCTAGCTTCCCTTTCCACTGTGCTGTATAGTAAAGTCCCATCGACTTTCAGTTCTCATTAATTTTTTCCCACTTCTTTCTAGTTCATTGAGAGCTTATTATACAGAACGCTTACATAACTTTATATCCATGTGAGAACAGATATTTAAATTTTAATTCTTATTGAAGCCTTGATGTGGAGTATATATTATTAATGAGTATATGTGCATTATAATTTATTAAAATAATCCAGCTTAGCATACCATGCTGTCTCCAGAGCTATCCTTTCAAGAGCAGAAAACATAAAAGAAACCCTAAGAGATGGCACTCTTGATTAGAAGCAAAGAGTTTGTGTGGGTGCACATGAGCAAAGCAAATGTACCCCTCTGCCAGTTAATACAAAGACTGTCATTTAGCGTTTCTTAATTTAGAACTGGATCACAGGGTTCGATACCTAGAAAGAACCCTTGGACTATGTACTCTGGAAATATTTATCACTGGAATAATATGGACAAGCAACTTTCCATGGACCAACCCTTTCTTAGAGGAGATTGCAAACCAGTGCAAGATACAGATGCTAACAGATGTTAATACAGATAATTAAAATACAATCATACACAATTGGCTATCTGAAGTTTATAAATTGGATCAATTTGTTCTCACCAGGCAAGGGAGGGCAGAATTATGGTTCACAAAATTTCCCTGAGGAAGTGACAGGTTTTGTAGGCTAAACAGGATTTGATGGGTGATCATAGTCTGGTGGTAGTTTGGGAAGGACTGGCTGGAAGATGCATCACAAGAGACACCAAGCAAGAATGAATGTGTGTATGCTTGTGGACAAAGAAAAAAGCATGGAAAACTTGTAAGAACTATCAGCAGTTGGTTAAGGTTGACACCAACCTGCATAAAAGACTGATGGGAGCTTGACTTGGGAGGGTAGGCAGTGTATAGTACACCACGGGCCTTGAAAAGCCGGCTCAGATATGCACTGAGGTTGAGGGACATAATGAACTTGAAGACTAGAAAGTTAGAGGCAGTATTATGGGTAGGCAGGAAAGGGGAGACTGCAGAGCAATGGTTTCTGTATGATTGAGTTTCAGGAGTCTTTTGTATCCCTTCACTGGCATGTCTACAACCAGACAATTCTAGAGAACTATCTATTTCTTTCTGGGGAACTGTGGTTATTTTTCTGTTGTATCAAATGAAGGCTCCACAAATGGTAGTTTGTTACATTGGAATCAGAAATGGTATCCACAAACTTTTGACCTATCTTGTCTTTTGAATGTATCTTTTACATAGCTTGTATGTCATAAATGAATCATTTGGAAGGTAACAACACACTATTGTGCGGATCTTCCAAATTTGATGAATTTCATCATATGATACCCCCAAAGCAATTCCTTAATATGGACAATAATTACATGAGAAAATTCATTATGCATTAAGGGTTGTCATGCTCCTAGTGTCAGGTGAGGCTTTCCAAAAATCCAGTTCCCCTTGAGAGCTCCACTTTAACACTGACAATAAATGCTGTCATTTGTTTTTCTCTGAGTGACAGGCTTTGCGTTTGTCCATTTTTGAAAATGTATGTGACAAATACCCAACTCTGAATATCATTGTTTGCCAGTTATCCTTTCAAATGAGTATGGCGTTCCATCACACACACACACACACACACACACACACACACACACACACACACACACACACACACGAGAGAGAGAGAGAGAGACAGAGACAGAGACAGAGAGTTGAGAGATGGAAAGTGAAGAGCCCACTAGTTTGGGTCCTGGCCTCCTATAACCACTCTGGAATCTTTCTTGAAACAACCACACAGCTTTAGTGTCAAGCATAAATTCTTTGGGTATTTCTTCAATTCCCTCATATAGAACATTAAAAATGTGGGTTCTTTGGTATTGATTTTACTGCTTCACCAGAAGTCTCTTATGTGATCTGACTTTTTTTTTCTTACTGACAGTATATGGCCACGAAACAACACAGACAACACAGATCAACACAGTTTTCTCTATGCCTGCTGAGGCAGCCACTGAATCCCTGAAACTATTGGATGATCAGTGCAAATGCTACACCATGAAGAAGTCAAATGGTATCTTGATACAATTATGAAAATAGTGTAGACTTCACAAACTTCCCCACAAAGGGTCCTAAAGACGTCCTGTCATGTCTTTGGCAATAGTACTCCAGCAGGAAGCAATTGGTAAAAGTGGAGGAAGAGGGTCCAACTGCATCCCTATGTGAACAAGCAAGGCTATAGTGACTGCAAGCGGACTCTGGCCACTCTGCTGTATTAGAACAGGTTGTGATCCTTTCTAGTTTCCACATTCCCTCAGTCTATAATAGAGAGAATTATAGCAAGGACAGTGCATACTTCTGAGGTTAATGTGACATCTACACATGAAAATCCACATAAAGGGTGAGCACAGTGGCCTATAAAGAGCAAGCCACTCAGATGACGAGAAAACCCATAGCCAAAGTGTATTCAAGGCACAAATATAGGACAGGGAAAACCAGTGAGCTTTCTTGGCTGACTTGCTGCACAGAACAAAGCTTTTGAACTACATCTCAGCCCCAGGTCTCTAGAGTAAACCATAGCTGACAAGAACCCAGTAGAGCAGCAGAGATTTGTAAGGCAAGATAATAAATTTTGTTCAGCACCTCTTGAGTTTGAGGTGCCTGGGGGACATCTGGTATGTAATTAAAATATGTGTCTGAGATTTGGAAAAACTGTCTGAGCTGAGAAAATGCTAATTAAGGGGCAGAGAACTCATATGACATCATTTAAGAGCAACATGAAAAGATGGAAAGGCAGACCTAACATGACCGCCAGTCTTGAAGGAGGTGGAGAGGGTATCAGGCAATGAGGTCAGAATGGTTACCTGAACATCAGAAGAGAAACTTGCAAAATATTAATTATAGACTGTGTATTGGATCCTACAATTACTTGAAATGCCCATGCTAAGAAAGCCTAAGAAACGGACCCAGAAAAGCTAAGTGGTATTTCCTGAAATGACCATGGGCAAACACACATGTTGCTTTGTGACAAAAAAAATTTTTTCTACATATTCTATTTTTTGTTGAATTAGTTTTTCCATTAATGTTGTCGTATTATATTAAACCCAGCTATTTGGCAATTGGATTTTAAAGACCTAAGTTGTATATAAATAACTACAGAAAAATTAATTTGGATCATTCAGTTTTGTTTCTTATATCAGTATGCTACGATTTTATCATAAGCTTATAAATGATTGTGAGACCAACCAATACCATGAGCCTAAACTCTACGAGTTGTTAATGAATCAGATTCTGAGAAAAATAACACAGAAAACATTAGGGACATGCTGTTGGGCTATCAAACCGTCAAGGCAAAGCACACATCTTCACTTGTCATGTGGTCCCTGGCTTCTCATCTCTTTCATTTTCTAGAAGAATTGGAAAATGTCATTACTATCTATATAACCTGCTAATATTGTCTCTTCTCTCTTTCTCTCTTCTCTCTCTCTCTCTCTCTTCTTCCCCCCTTTTCACCTCTGTTGGTGTCTCTCTGTCTTTTTTTAAAAATGAGGATTCATGCTACAGACAAAATCGATTAGTTCTGGTCTGTCATGTCAGAAGGCTGTAAATTTGCCATCTTCAAGGATGGAAAGCTGCTCTGTGTCTCATAACTCAAAATATCTCCCCCACAAAAAAATTTACAATGTATTTCCATGTACTTGATGATGAATGAGTTAATAGGAAATCCTGGGCCCATTGCCAAAGAAAATGTGCGCTGTGCTCTTGGTATCAACAAAAGAGATTATTATAAAAAAGGCAGAATCTAAAATATAAGACGAACCAAGTATCCACTGCTAAAGAAAACTATTTATTATTGTGGTCCTTCTGAGTCCTAGGCAACACTCTACCTAAGCTATATCCTCCTCAACTGAAATAAGATGTTTCACTTATTCTTTTGTGTGTGTGTGTGTGTGTGTGTGTGTGTGTGTCTCCATATATGTGAGTGTGCACTGTGTATGTGTGTGTGTGAGTGTGTATGCTCGTGCATGTATGCCTGCCTGCTGAGGATTGAATCTGGGGCTCATAGCTGATAGGCAAGTTAAGCAAGTGCTTGACCACTGGATAATACCTACATCTACTTTTTCTAACAGAACTCTCATTTAGAACTAATGATTATCCTATATTTACTGGAGTAACTTAGTTAACACTATATCTGTAAGTACTATAAAAAAACAGCATAATGTTTTATTGAATATACAAAATGAGCATTTGGCACACAGTATCAATAACTACTAGATACCCACAAGGTGGAGTTACATACTACTTTTCATATTTCAAAAGAGCATTGAAATATTATCTGGCTTCTTAGGCAGATGGCTTTGAGATTAAATGATAGTAACAGAACTCTGTTAAGTGATTTCTATATATCAGATACTCCCAAGTAATTTATGTCTGTGAACTTATTTAGTCACATTGCAAATTTATCTTATTGATTACAGTCTTGCCCTGTTGATATTATTTTCATTCTTATTTTACAGACCAAGAAATGTAGGTTTGTGTCAGCTATATAGCTTGTCTAAACTTCAAAGTTAGTAAGCTGAGCAACCAATATTCAAATCTGGACAGTTCAGAGAAAAATCATATTTGTCTGGCTCTGAAATGACCAGATCCCTAATTCATATTTGCTGACCTAGAACTAGGAGGCCAGTCATCTCACTGGGGGGTGGGTGGGTATGTGTGGAATCTGCATTGGAAATAGATAGGCTTTACCTAAGAGCCTGAGAACTCTAGTCCCACTTATGTAAGTAGGAAACACTGAAAACAGAAAATCATCAACAACAAACATTAGACACATATGTAATAGATATGTGATAAAAAATAAGAGTTGCCACATAAGTAACCAACATGTTCACATATATGCAGGGAACTTCTGAGCTGTTTAAAATCAAATTATAGCCCTAGGATTGCTCTTCTAGATCATGTGTCTTTCACTGTCTAATAAAAAAAAATATTGGCATCTCTATTAGTCTGAATAAACTCATCAAGAAAGTAATTCTATGTCAAAGGTACCACACCATTGTTGAATACAAAAGCAATGCTGACTTTCTTTTACTAATGCTCCCTCACTAGCTAATGATAAATGTGTGGTTGTCAACACGTGATACTATTTATTAATTTCCTGTTTAACAAGTGGATTTATTGTCATTTTATTCCATGGACTCACATCATGGGGGAAATTTTGTCAGAGGAAGAAGGCCCCGCCCAACTCTGCCTTTGGAACAATCATCTAGGAAATAATAATTAGCTCACAAAGGCGGATGTTTGCTGTGACTTTGTCCTCATCTGATCACTTATAAACTGAAGAGACAAGAGCCAACTAATGACAACAATTAAGCCAAACTTGTTATACAGGAATCAGCAGTACTGGCTTTAATAGCTTTTGACATTTCTTGCAGAATGTTTGCAAACTGAAGTAGGTTTTACGTGGGTCCCAGTGTGCACTCTGCCCTGGATGCCTCCTTTATTTTCTCTTGCAATCAGTGCTTAAGGAAGTGATATGTGATCCCATTCTGGCCAGTGTAATGCCAGGAAGATTTGTCAGGGGGCCCTCTGCTAGACTGATTTATGCTGGTTAGAAAAGGAGCGAGGGAAGGCATCTTCTCCATTTTGCACCTTTGTTTTTACATCAGAGTAGTATCCATAGCACTCTCTCAGCCAGTTTCCAACCACAGTGGATGCCACTCCGAGGGCAAAGCTGACATAGTGAGTGTGGCCGATCACAGAGACATGTTTACCCTTGGGCTCTTGATGGACGGCTCAGCTCTTAGACCCAAACAACCTCTGCACTGCTTGTTATGTCCAATAAACATCTTTCCTGACTACAATCGTTTTAGACAGTTTTCCTAGTTAGCTGCTGCTGATACACCAAATAAACAAATACTTGCTGGTCAGTTCAAAACCTTAGCCAGTCAAGAAGGGAGCTCACAGCAAATGCTAGCTAGCTACAGGTTTAATGTCCTCAACCCAGTAGAAACAGGTGAGCTATGGGTCTAATTACCAAATAAATATAATATAATGTAAAGTAAACACAATCCCAGGCAATTTATAAAATGTACAAAACAAATGTTCCTCTTAAAGGAGAAAGAAACAGATCTGGCTTAATTTCTCTTTCTGGCTTCCATGCCCGGAGGCCATCCCTGCCAGGCCTCATCCATTTGTTTATCTGTTTGGAGAAACACAGTAATGGGGGGTGCACCTTTCTGCCATCTTTTTGTTTGAGTCCAGATGTCCTGGTTAGCAATAGCAATCTCAGTTTGCTTTGCACAAACACAAAGTTATTCTAAAGTAGTAGGTTCGGTACCTTTGAGATTCACAGCAGCTCTGTTTGGAAAAGCTCCAGGCCCCTTCTGGGAATTATCTCATTTGTTCTTACAATATCCCTAGAAGGGATTCTGTGTTTTTTCCCCAGTAAGTCACTCTGCCACGAATCCTTGACAGATATGTCATTGCTGACTAACTCTGGTGTGCTTGACTTCAGCGATCTTACACCATAATCTGTGTGGAAAGAGAAGAGCATGAGATTAGCTGGGTATGCTGGCCACTTGCAGTGTGGTGGCCCTCTGGCCCTGGGTCCTGGTTTGGGGACTTGGTTTACCTGAGGCTTTTGATCAGAAAAGCAGCTAGATGCAGAGCAGGCCCTTTGATCCTATTAGACAACATGCCCTGGCATGCTTTAGCAAGAGGGGCCAGGGACAGCTGCCAGGACCCCAGGTGGAGGGTGGGACTCTTCTCCAGCTGCTCTGGCTCATGCGGTCTTTCTAGAGACATGCTGGCGTGTGGAGGCATCTGTCATATCTGCTACTTCCTTGTCCCCTCACCCTTTTTGTCTTCCCCTTTGCTGGTTTTCCTCCAACACTTCAAGACCACAGAGGGAGCTAAGAGATTCTAATTCCTTTTCTAGCTTAGCTCACTTTTCCCCCATCAGAAAAGTTGTTTAATTGACCCAGTAAGATAAGATAAACCTCACTCCATGGCTTCTAAAGGTAAACGTTAGACAAGCAGGTTGCACCCGAGCACTGTAGTAACCTAAACTATCCGATGTCACTCTCTACTGTCAATGGCTTATCACAGGTTAACTCAATAGACATAATTTCAGAGGACAAGGTAGCCAGTCTAAAATCTGAAGTTGATATTTAAATCAATATGTACTTCAATTCACTTACACAATGTTCACAAAATCTAGAGATCTGTATTTTCCATTTTCTGGCAAAAAAAAAATCTTGTTTTACAATTTTAATAACATCTATTAAAATTTCTGCCTCTAGATGAACTCTCCCAAAAGCCACCAATCTTTTGTTCTGTCCTGTCACCAGACACAGAATATCATTAAACCCTGTCAGTGTCACTCAGAGATTTAAAGTCACATTAGCCAAGACTGGAAATGCCTTTGTGACCTGGCCTGTGCCTTCCTGCCCATTCTTTGTGGTAGCAACAGGGTTGCTCTTCCATTCTCCAGCTGTGAGACATCATGTGTCGGCTCACCAATCCAGCTGTTAGTTTCTTACAAGTAAATAAAGATTGTATCCAGAAAATTGGTTTTTATTCTTAGAATGGTATTTCAAATTAGCATATCGATATATGTTCATACATAAGTATATATACATGCAGATATGTAAATTTATGTAGGACTAGGTTTTCCACCAAAACTGGAAGTTTTTAGTAGTATTGGTTGTATTAATAGTATCATAGATATTATTTTTTTTTCACTAATACCCATATTGTTATCGATCATATCTGGAGTATTCACCAAAAGCTGACCAGCTGCCCTATGGAAAGTTTGGTCTCTGGCCCATGGGGCCATTGGACAGGGCCTACTAGCAGGAACTTTGGTTCCTAGGGTCATAGCTTTAAAGGAGATATTTGTACCCTGATCTTTCCTCTTCCTGTCTGTTCCTGGCCATCATGAGGTGAACAAGCCTTTGTTCCAGAGTTTGGACATGCTGAACTCTGCCATCATAGACCCAAATCCACTGACAGGGTTATACAAACATGGACTCCAGAAATATGAGCCAAGATTAAAAGTGTGATCTTTTAAATGGAGTTTCTCAGGTATCACATCCAAGTGTCAGAAGCATAGCATGCACTACCCATACAGCAGCATTTGTACCTACACTTAAGCTTTTCACTGAAATTACAGTCATTCAATAATTGCTAGTGTTTTATACTTCCCAGACACACACTCCTGCTGCGCATGGCTTCTCTTGCCTTCACAGCTCACAAGTAATTAGATTTTAAATTCTCCGGCCTCTAGCTTGACATATAATGAGAATGACTTTAAATAACCAAAACATCAATTTACTTATAATGCTTAAGTATTTGGGAGTTCTTGGGGGGGGTGGGAGGACAAGGTAGAGATGGGGTGTGAGTTGAGGAGAAGAGGTAGGTCTCAGTAGCGCACCCCCCAAGCCCAGAAGGCTCTAATTCACCTGTAGTCCTTTCCTCCTCTTGAGAAACTATTTACAAACAGGAGGAAATGTAGCTGATGGCTTAGGCTTCCAGTAGGACAATTTTTCCAATTTCAAGTACCCACCAGTTAGAGCACTGATTTCTAAATGTAGCCCTCTCATTGAAAACTGTATCTATCTTTCTTTTTTTAATGCAGTGTTTTAAGCTAGGGTCTCATGTAACCCAGACTGGTTCAAACTCGCTTTGTCTGATTCAGAATTCTAGATCCCCCCCCCCCACCTCCCAATTTATATTCTGTGATGTGTGGCACATCTGTCTCTCTTTTACTTATTGAAGCAAAGTATCACCCAATCACCAATTACCAGATCCAACTGGCTTTAAAGTCCTTGTATAGCCTAGCCTGGCCTTGTACTTGTGATCCGGTCTCAGCCTCCCCAGTGTTTGGATTACAGGCCCGTACCACCAAGCCTGGTTCCATTATATCTTAAGGTGATATGTATCTCACTTACTTCTAAAAGTGAGTCAGTTTTAGGCTGACTGGGGTGTGACATTAGTCACCAGAAGGCAGTTCGGAACTTCAGTGTAAGAATGACCGAGGCTGATTTATATTTTTTTAAAACAATTACTGTGTGCACCTTATAGAAGTGAGGTCAACGTGCAGGAGTTGGCGCTCTTTATTCATCAAGTGGATCATGGCTCAAATGCAGGCAACCAGGCCCCTGCCTTCTATCTGCTGACCCACGTCCCCAGCTCCATTCGGATCCTTCAAAATTTTTTTAAAAATCTTCATTTATTATTTTGTGGTTTCAAGTGGTTTGCCTGCATGTATATCTGTGCCCCCTGAAGGGAGGGAGAAAGGGTTGTCAGAGTCACTGACTGGAGTTACTGCCGGGTGTGAGCTTCCATGTGGGTTGTGAGGATTGAAACTGGGTCCTCTGGAAGAGTAGCCAGTGCCATTGTTACAGCCCCTAGGCTACTTAAAAAGTTAACTCCTGTTTTATTTAGGAAAGAGTTCTCATACAACACATTTTGATCATATTCTTTCCCCTCCCACCTCCTCCTAGATCCCTCCATTTCTCTACCCACCACCTTCATGCTGTCCCCACTTCTCTCCCATCCCTCCCTCCCTCCTCCCCCTCCCTCTTTCCTGTACAGATTTCCAGAGGTAAGTTGGGGTCAGGCAGGATCCATGTATCTGCAACTTTAAATAAATGCTCTAGGTACATCTGACATAGAAACATAGACAACAAATTGACAAAGAAAAATATGAAGGAAAAGATTAGTGACTACAAGGAATATGACATGTAGTATTTATGTAATAAAGACTGGAATCCAGCTCAGATTTACCCAGCAGCCAAGAAAACAGGAATGAGACATGGATCTGAACTTTTTTTTTTTTTTCAAAACTCCTGAAAGTTGTTTGTAAAAAGACAAATTTGTTCCAAGAACTAAACTGGAGAAATGAAAGTTTGCTGAGCACTTACCCTGAGAAACCATTAGCAATACACTCAATAGGTATCCAAAGGTAATTTTAGGGGAGGCTCATCTAAGGCTTAATCAAGAAAGTCTGCTTTTGGATAAAATGAGTTCATCACAGTGAATTTCATTTAGAAGGTCATACAGTGGTTCATAAACTTCGCTCTCATGTGAACTAAGCTGCATGTTGATCTGAGAGAGCCTTCCTAATTGGAAGCCTACGTTTTAGTCAATTTTACTAGAATTGCATTCTATCTAGACATTTTGGGGAGAGACCTTGTTGCATAAACGAGGGAGTGGTAGCTCAAATAGAATGATGGGAATTTTACCCTGAGACTGGTCAATAATACCATCTGTAGAGCCTGAGACAGACATATTTACTATGAATTTATTTTTCTTGCCAATTCTTATTTTTACATTTGATATCACTAACATCAAGAACTACATTTTCTAGAAAGTTGAATTTTCCATTCCCTTCTGTGTAATTTGACAGTGCAATAAACTTTTAATATGTACTAATTCTCAGAATCTTGTGGTTAGGGAACATATGTTTGTGTTCTTACTCATGCATGTGAGCAGGTATGTGTAAAGGGTGAGTGAAATCCTGTGTACTAAGCTGTGTATGGTTTGACATGTGCATGGCCATGTCAAGGACCACAATGCCTCAGACCCATGGGAAATGGCAAAGTCTTCCCCGGATGAGGTTCAGTGAGGTGGCAAAGCCTTCCTCTGGTCCATGTGCAGATGGTGGCAGTGTGTGCAGAGAATGTCCACTTTAGCTTTCTCCCCAGATCTGTACTGCCCGAGGATTGCTCCCCAATAGATTGTTCCTACCAAGATTCGCTAAGGCTGCCTCCTTGCTCAACTGTAACCAGCAACCCTGTGTCTCTGTTTATCTGCCTGTAATAGCCCCTACTCCTTGTCCAGCTGTACGCAATAACCACACCTTCATGTTCAAACTGTATAAAATAAACACATTGACCTTCCGAGGTGCTGCACTTCTCTATGTGAGAGTCCAGCCTACCTGGTCCCAGTTTTTCTGTGTGTCCATGTGTTTGTCCTTTCTGCATGCCCTTACAGTTAGGTCAGTCCCTGGAGCCATGCAGCAGCTCACCATCTAATTTTTAAAGATGGGACCTCCTAATGAACCTAGAGCTCAAAACAGAATTGGCTAGACTGGCCCACCACTTGCTCCTGGGAATTCACCTATCCCTCTTTCTAGTCCAGATCTCCAACACCCAGGATACACACAAACCCTGCCCTGCCCAGCTTCTTATGTAGGTACTGGGATCCAAACTCAGGTCCTCATGCTTGCACTGCAAGCTCCTTACCTACTAAGCTGTCTCCCCAGGGTCCCTCCCAGTATTTTAATATTTTTATTTTACTAGGTCTTCATTATTTTACCATCTGTCTGCCTCTTTGGTGTGTCCTTTAGTTTGGGCCATTCATGGTATTTTCTTTTCTTTCAACACATTGTATCTTCCTGTGTTTACAACATAACACCTCTTCAGAACTTTCCAGTTCAAAATCACTCTTGCAACTCAATGGCCTGGAATACCTCAAACTTAGTGCAGGGACCCAGGGGGTGCAACACTGCTCACTTCTCAAGGAAG